TTTTTTTTTTTTTAAAAAAAAAAAAAAAAAAAAAAAAGTAAAATCATGCAATAAGCACGCTTATCAGTTAACGTTCATGCTAATGCTGATGCGGCTTCGAACAGAATATTCTAGTGTTACAATCTCGAAATTTTGATGATGATGATGTCTGAGGGTTTGTCTCACCCAGCTGTACATGCATGGGCGCTAGACAGCTCGAGGCGCTAGGTTTCATACGTCCGTCCGATACTTACAACCACGGCTCTTTGCCAATTCCAATCCCACCCTATTGACATCGTCATCCGAACAGTCGATAGGAATTGATTCAGACGGTAACGATGGCAGCCTCAGCCCCAGCCCCGGCCCCAGCGCCTCCACACGCCATCGAGGGCTCCTCTCCGATCGTCGACGACAAGGCGGCCAACGTCATCGCTTCATACGAGATCCCCGAACCCGAGCCGTTCGTCTCCTTCAACGCTCTCAAGGATCGCATCAGACACCACTACGAGTTGGCATCGGACTACTACTACTCACTCTGGTACGTCGGATCCCTTGACACACATACGCACACGTGACCGTGGGCTGAGAGATAGACATCAGGGGGGAGCACATCCACCACGGCTACTTCCTCACGGCATCCGACACCAAGGAGCGGGCTCAGGTACAGCTGGTTGAGCTGTTGCTCGAGCGCTCCGGCCTCCCGAGAGGCAGCTCCGTCCTCGATGTCGGCTGCGGCATAGGAGGAACCTCACGCCACCTGGCCAAGGAGCACGGATGCCACGTCGTCGGTGTGACCATCAGCGGCCGCCAAGTCGAGATCGCTTGCCGATTGACGTCGGAAGCCAGCGGCACCCAGCCAGACACCGCCGGTGCGGGATCCGCGACGAAGCTCGGGGATGGGTCGGTGAAGTTCATTGAGCTGGATGCGGAGAAGATGGGTGCTTTCTTCACGACGGAGCCGAACGTGGGGACCTTCGACTGCGTGTGGATTTCCGAGGCGATGAGCCACTTGCCGAACAAGGAGCTGTTCTTTCGGAACGCGGCGCTCTTGCTCAGGGAGGGGGGCCAGCTGGTTGTGGCTGACTGGTTCAAGAGGGAGGATTTGACGGAGCAGCAGTTCCAGGATGACATCGCCCCGATCGAAGGTCTGTGAGCCAACACGTCGACGGCAAGCGAGGTCAAGCGAGGCCAAGCAAAGCCAATAAAAGCCAAGCGAAGCAAAGCAAAGCAAAGCAAAGCAAAGCAAAGCAAAGCAAAGCAAAGCAAAGCAAAGCAAAGCAAGACTGACAGATACACACAGATGGCATGCTCCTCCCACCTCTCTGCTCACAAGCCGAGTACGTGCGCCTCGCCAACAGTGCCGGCCTGAAGACCACCGCGGCGCCCTTTGACATCAGCAAGCAAGTGTCCAAAACCTGGTGAGTCCAGCTCCAAAGTCCGCTGCGTGACCACACAAGGGATATCCACACTGTGTCAATCAACACTGTGTCAATCAACACTATATCAACATCAATATCGGCAGCTCACCAGCAAACAGGGATATCTCGTGGTCGCTGATCCAGAACCCCGCCCTCTGGGCCTTTGCCGTCGCGCAGGGCCGAGACGGGCTGGCGTTCATGCAAGCCTTCCACGCCATGAGGAGGGGCTTCGCCACCGGGACCTTCCGCTACGCCGTGATGGCTTTCCAGAAGTGATGGTGATGGGTGATGGGTGGCGGTGGCGTCCCGTCGAGGTGGTGGTGGAGTGTCTCTGTCGACTGGCGCGCGGGAGAAGGACGGAGTGTGTGTGTGTGTGTGTGTGTGTGTATGTATGCATTGCATTGCAAAGAGCAAAGAGGGAAGTGCAAAAGCCAGGGCGGTACGTACGTACGTACGTACGTACGAAGTAGACAATCTGGTCTGGTCAGCGCTCGAAGAATGAGATGTGTTATGTTATGGTGAGAAGACCGGCACGCGACGGTAACTAACTGTATGTATTGCGGCTTGCTTTCTCTCCGCTCCGCTATGCCGCGCGGGAGGGATGCTGCTTCAGTAATCCACACTGCGGTAGCGGAAAGGAAACCTACAGCCCCTCCCCCCCCTACCTCCTTTCTTTACAATTTCCCTCTTTTTCTTTTTTTTTTTTCTTTTTCTTCTTCTTCTTCTTCTTCTTCTTCTCGTCCGGGCAACTTGCTCGGGTTTCTTTCTTTCTTTCTTTCTGCTTTTTTCATCGCAGGCTGGTTTGGGAGGAGGAGGAGGGGGGGGAGGAGGAGGAGGAGGCGGGCTTTGTACGGGCTAGCAGGGGGCGCGCCTTGTGTGGAGATGGGCTTTATTGGTTTGTTTGAAGAAAGGGAGGAAGGAAGTGTGGAAGGAAGTGTGGAAGGGTGGAAGGTAGTAGGATGAGAAATAAGGAGAGTGCGGAGGGCTTTCGAGAGGGGGTTTCTGTTTAGGCACCTGGCTGGGGAGGGGGAAGGGGGGAGTCTTCTGGTGGTGGGTGAGAGAGAGAATATACCCGGACGGACTTTCGTTGGACTTGCTTGCAGTCTGTAACGCTTGATTCGAGATAGATGCCGCTGTCGAGTCTAGAATACTATTGCAGAATAGTGAACCTGCTCAATCGCGGCTACCTTAATATCTATCTCATCCGTATCGATACATGGTGCCATTCGTGCGGACGCCAGCAACAAGAACAACAAAATCAGGCTGGGATCTTCTTCCTCTTCTTCTTCTTCTTCTTCTTCCTCTCCCTCTTCTTTCTCTTCTTCTTCAGTAACCACCGATCATGCGACCGACCATGTTCTGAATACCACTCCGAGCCTGCTTCTGGACCTGGGCGAACCGCATGACTCCACAAATCTCGCTCTCCACATGCTGAACGAGACCACTGAGCGCCTTGTACTCTCTGCCGCAGCTACCCTTGGGGCATCGATAGATCTTCTGCTCGTGAACCGGGCTGGCCAAGTGGGCATTCACACCCTGGAGAGTCCCGAACTGCTTGGCGCAGAGGTAGCATTCATAGTGCCGGCCATTCCACGAGCGTTCCGTGGCGCGCGTAACAGCATCGGGGCGGTCGTAGCCAGACATGGTCAGCATCGGCTTGGTGATGACGTGGTTCCGGTCCAGCTGGCGAACGATGCGGTTGATCTTGGAGCGATCGAGTCCCGAGACGGTACAGGCGCCGGACTCGAGATGGATCGTCACACCCGACGCGGTAGTGAACGAGAGGCTGCAGAAGGGACATTCGATGGAACCCCCCATGTGGAGCTTGGAGTGCAGATGCTACGGAGATCAGCATGTCGGGAGATGGTGGGGGGTGCAGGAGGCTCTGTCGGGGGAGCACGTGTGTACCTGGCGGAGGTTGTTCTCATTCATGAAGATCCGCCGGCACGGGACGCAATACGAATGGCCGGCCGCGCTCGAGTAATGCTGATGGCGCGAGTGCTCCGAACCGAAGACCCGGTCGCAGATGTCGCACTGCCAGCCCAGCTCCTCGCTGCTGGAGTACTGCTCAGAGCTCGCATAGCCCCCATCGGAGCTCTCGTCTTGGTACCGGTGAGCGGCGCTGGTTCGGAGATGCTGGTTGTACCCGTTCTCCGTGATGAAGGAACGGTCGCAGGGGAAACACCAAGGCATCTTTTTGATCCCGGGGAAGCGGGTTTCGGAGGAAGAGGTGGTGGTGTTGTTGTTGTTGTTATTCTCGGGTGATGAGGGTTGTGAGAGCTCGAGTTGTCAAGTGAAACTGGTCACGAGGGATGAGTAGAGTTTGAGACATCGCGTTGGCTGCCGACGTGCCGAGCTGTCGTCCGGGCCGGGACACGGAACTCCCGTACCGCTCCTGCCTAGCCTGGTGAGAAGGTGTTTGCAGTTGCGAGCGTGCCGCTGAGCCTGCGGGGCAACTGCACCAAGTCAAATAAGATCGATATAATACTGTTTGTGTCGGCATCTGTATCTGTATCTGTATCTGTATCTACATCTACATCTACATCTACATCTAAAACAACCACAGCTCTCATACCACCATCATAAATCACACACACATTCTCTCTCCCACGCTTGTACAAAACTGAACCGAGAAACCATCCCAGCCAATCACGCAAGTCCAACCAAGGCGGTGGGTTCGTCCGCCCGCGCGAACAAGTCGGATGGGAAACTCTACTGTATACCTACGTACTATGGACCCAGCCAGACGGGTCAACCAGATACCAACCAGTACTACGTCCCAGGCGTAAAAGTATTACCCCTCGAGGGTTGGGTCACCAGGGGGTTTGAAGTGGAAACTCAACTTTTGAGGCACCCTCGAGGGGTAATACTTAGGCCTGCGCCGTGGTATATAAGCCGCAAGCCGGCTCGCCCGCTTCCAAGTCCCGACATACACCAGACACCAGCTTGACAGACGCCCAAAGTCTGTAAGCTACAACGAACCTCACACCTATACAATAAGTAGTAACATCCACTCCATTCCATCACATCACATCACCTCACCTCACCCCATCCCATCCCATCCCATCCCATCCCCATCCACGAATCGACCTTCCACCCACTTCAATCACAGCTGCCATTCCCCCTTTTCCCTTTCCCCTCCCCCTTCCCTTCCCCCCTTTTTTAACATACCGTCTTCACATCCCTCACAAGCCCTCCAACACCGCGAGCAGTTAACTCGTTAACTAACCTGACAAGTAAAACTTCAGCCACAGTATAGATACTTACGGTACTCAAGTACCGGTAGGTGGTCCTGTAGGTAGCTTGAAAGCGGGGAAAGAAAGGGATCAGGTTAGCGATTCGTCTTCTGATCGACCGACCGGCCGACCCTCTTTTATTGTACAAGAGACGGTGCGGTCGGGCGGTCATGGGATCGTTTCAAGTCAGTACTGGTACTGATACATACTGATAGTATAGTGCAATCTCGGGACTTCACCGCTGCTGTATGGACACTAAGCAAGTACATAGGAGCCCGGTCGGCAAGCGAAGGTGCAAGTTTCTTTTCTTTTCTTTTTTTCTCTTTTCTTTTTCTTTTTCTTGGCTAGATGGCATCTGGATGCATAGCAGCTACGGTATATGACTAGCCTTGGCACAGCCGGCAGAGAGACCCCGTCGTGGTGTGTGTGGTAAGTGTTACATACCTCTCGAGTCCTCGGGTAGCTAAGTATACGCATCCCAGACAACACCGAAAGCTAGCCAGGCAGACACCCTCCAACCTCCAATGCCCCCCCAAAAAAAGGACAAGAGGAGATATCCTCGCCTGGATCCAGCCGCTCCAAAGCGTGTACTTCCGTCCGCACCCTCCACCAGGACACTGGAACATCTTCTCCTCGCGGGCCGGGCTGTTCAGACGAGAATCGACGGGTCGCAGGCTTGCGCATTCCCGGGTGCAGAGGCACTGCAGCAGCAAGCGTAAGCGGAGCCGTTCCAAGCGAGCTCGGTGGCGGTCGTTTGGACGTTCTCGTCGCCGGGCATCGTGAGCATTGGGCGGGTGATGACGTTGTTCCGGTCGATGCGTTGCACCAGCTTGTTGATCTTGCGTCGGTTGAGGAGGTTCGATTGGGGGCAGCTGCCGCTCTCTACATGTCCGCACCGAACGGATTATGAGCTCGGGGTGAGCTCGGGGAGAGAGAGAGAGAGAGAGAGACGTCCCTCCCTCACTGCAACACCGGAAGCAGCGGCAAAGCCAGCCCTGCAAGCCAGGCACAGCGACTCTCTTCCAACGCGGGCTCTGCAACGCTGACGCTAACCCAGCTAGCGGGCGCTCACCGAGGGACATAGGTACTTAGCACGCATCCTACCTGCGCGAGGCCGTTGCAGCTCTAGAACATCCGTTCGCACGAAATGCAGTACGGGCGTCCACAAGCCGAGCCGGCCCGGTGACGAGAATGCCCCGCGGAAAACATCCGATCGCAAGCCTCGCACTCAGAATCCGTGCTCTGCTGCACATTTGACAGCCACGGTCGCTGTTGGTTGAACCAGCCCGCCCTCGCCGGGCTCGCAAAAACAGCATCTCGAGCTGGCGGTCTCAACTTTTTTCGGCAGAAACGAAAAAATTGACAGCAAAATGGGCGCGAGGTTACCTAGGCCACAGGGCAAGAACGATAAAGGGGAATGCGCAAGAAAGGGAATGAAGTACCGGTAGGTACATACATACATACATACTACCACCACATACCTACCCCTCAGCTACCGACGTGACCTACCTACCTACCTACCTATACCTAGTTTATCAAGCAGTAGTACCTCAGCCAAAGCCCAAGCTCCAGACGGCGTCAATAGGGTAGGTACTACTGCTGCTCGCATCACAGCCAAGCTCACATCTATCCCAAGTCGGTATTCACATCACATCACATCACAATACAGATAGATAGATAGATACAAACAAGACACCCTGTAATGCTGCACCTTTGTTCGCGGAGGGTAGCCGTTGGGCGGTACCTGTACCGGTATCGATAGTCATGGCATGGCATGGCTGAAGGCCTCCTTTCTCCAGCGACTCCCCTCTGCTGGAGATGTCTCCGCTAAGGACAATATTTGAAAAAGAAAAAAAAAAAATTCAGTTTGAATGTGTCTTCACATTACCGCTTAGCTACATGCGAAGATATACAATAGCTTATATCGGCAGCGTTGCAAAGCTTGTCTTCCTCTTGTCTTGAATCTTCCATCTCGTTTGCCCTTCGCTTCTGCCCCGTAGCAAACAATAGACATCCATCCACACATCGTGCCACCCAGTTCCGAGATAAGCAAGTACACCCAGGCAAGGAAGCAGCTAAGCTGAGCACCCACAGACCAGCGCCAGCCATCCCAATGCTTCCTTCGAATCCGCCCTCCCAAGGCCAGGCTAAATAGAGTACACATGTGTCCGTCTCCCCCCGATCCCAAACCACCGCAAGAATACAAACAAGAAGCTACACGTAAATTCGCATATACAAAATCGTACAAGAGAATAGAGAAACGCAAGCGTGCCGGCCGTCTCATCGTTCCCCCGTGGATTTTCCAAACCAACGACAACACCAAAAACAAAGGAGACTACTCAGCTGTGCGAAGCTCTCGTTTACCACCGCGTCGAAGGTCGTGCTTTGACCCCGACACCACTTCTCTCCCACGCCCAGTTCTTCTTCTCCCCCACGCCGCCACTCCCACCCCCATCGCCTCCCCAACTCTTGAAGCTATTTCTGAAATCATTCCCCAGCAACTCACTCACGCTCTTCGTATCCTCAATCAGGTGCGGGTACGCCTGGTACGGCAGCACGTTTCGCGTTTTGACGACCCGCGGTGGCTTGGACGGGGCATCGATTTCGGCGGCTTTGCGCTGCTCCTTCAGAATATCACGAAGCTCTTTGTCGTCAGCTGTGATTTGCGCTTTCAGGAACGAGATGTCTGTGTTTGATGCGAGGGTTTCCATAACCGGTGTGCGTGGCGTGTAGGTGATTGCGGAGAGATTAGGTGGGTTGGTAGGGATGATGGCAGGGTCGAGGAAAGAGTTTGCTTTCGTAAGGAGGGTCGTAACATCAATGGATTCGCCGTGGGGGATCTTGGTTTGGTGTGACGGGGTGATGCAGTCCATGTCTACTTCTTTCCGAAGCACGTGGTCGATGTCGATGGCGGAGAAGTAGGCGCAGGCTTGAGGCAGGTCGTTGATGCCGACTTGTTGAGAGAACATGGAGCGCGTCCAGACGTTAGAGACTTGCAAGGCCATGGCGGCTCGATACTTGTCTTGCTCGCTGACAATGTAGCGGATTTCATCGTGGACGGTTATAGCGAGACGGGCGTCGATATTAAAGCGTCGGATAAGGTAGTCCATAGAGATTATCACGAGGTGAAGGTAGTCGACACCGGAAGACTGGATGGCCCAGTTGATCCGCGAAGTCATGAAACCTCCTTGGTTGACGAATCGGCTCATCAAAGCTTCAGTGATGCCTGCGCCGAGGACGGGTGTACGAGGTCGCTCTTGCTCGGCGAATTCCTCAAGCTTGTTGAAGACGAAGCTCTCGGTTCCACCGCGCCAGAAAGTCTTTTTGTGAAGTGCTTTTCTGTTGGTCTTCGCCCCCTTGGTAGCCTTGTATAGATTGGAAGCCACCTTTGTTGTCTCTGCTTCCGAAAGTCCGGGATTGAATTGGCGCAGGAGTGTCGACGCGAACTTGAGGCCTGCGCCGTAGATTCGCCCGTAGTTGAAAACTTTGGCATCATTTCTAGTGATGCCCAGAATTTTGGCCGTCCGTGAATGCAAGTCCGTTCCAGCTGCTTTTGTGCCCTCGAGGGTCATGAATCCGACGGCATTTCCGCCGTGCAATTTAAATTGGGCGTCACCAATCAAACTTGCAATCCAAAGCTCCTCAGAATCGACATCAGCACCAACGAAGCAGTAGCCAGAAGGCGCCTTGACCATGGACTTCAGCTCTGACCCGACTCGGTTTTTCTTGGCATTGCTTGCGGTAAGCCAAGTATTTTCAACCGCTCGTCTAGTGACTGTTCCCATCGGAATGACTTGGGGTAGAATATAACCATTCTCGGACATCAACTTCGCTTGCTCAGGTCCCTTCGCCCCGTCTTCCCCGTAGACAACCATCTGTGACATGATTCTGTCTCTTGCACTGATCCAATATGAACATGAGGCATTCATCTCCAATGCCTCCTTCGCGTAGGTGAATTCCGATGAAAGGACACCCTTCTCAAAGTATGGCAAGTAACTCTTCGCCATCGGGTTGGCACATCGGGCAGTAGGACCATCCTTGTGAGGTAACTTGAAATACGCTCCATCCCTATCGTCCCGTAGTGTCATGTCTTTCTCGTCGAAAGCAGTACACTCTTGCATTTGGGACGTGGTATACTTGTGGGCGTCCGTGATATCTACTCTAAATGTCCATCCATACTTGTCTGACCAGACTAGTGGATTTCCATCCCATGCGAGGCGTAGCAGTAAGGGTGCAATCCGGCTCCGTACCGAGAGTCCGATCGGACCATCGGTCTTTGAAAACAGATCCTTGTACCATTTTGGCATACCCGGCATCTTCTGCCGAGCTGCTGGTCGAGGGGGGTCGTTCTTCTTTTTGCCCTTGGCCATTTTGATTTCCTGGCCCGACCAATCCAACTGTCGTAGCCATGGGTCATTGCTCCACTTTTCGGAATCAGCTTTGATTTCGAGCGCTTTTTCAGTAAGACCGATCAGTCTCTCCTGCACTGCATCAGACAGCTTATGATACGTTGCTTCTGCATTCGATATGTAAGATTCCCAGGACTTGTCCACCGGGAGGATAACCGAGGAAAGATGCCGCAGGGCGGCAAAGCTCACGGGATGCGGACACGTTTCCAAGAAGTTTGGAAACACAATCCTATACACTCGATGCGTAACATCCACATCAGCAGCGCAGTAGTCCAGCAGCTCATCTAATTTCGCTCGAATGCCTTCTCGGTCCAGCTGTCCAAAAGTGTCTCTTTGCGCCTTGTCGATGGTAACGTCCAGGTGAAATTTCGCCACATCGCGCAATGAGTTGACTGAGCTTCTACCAACCCACAATTCCTCCTCCTCTTCGGACAACCCCTTGCTCCCAAGTAGAGTTGCCAGTTCAGCATTGTCCGTCTCTCCTGCAATCTTGTCTCTCAGCTCGCGATTCTTTCTGTGCTTCATCCAGGTCGGCCGCTGACGAGAACACATGCCGTTCACAGCCACATGTAACGACATGGTATCCAAGAAGTTGTTTTTGGACTGCTTGATGTCGTACTCCTCGGAAATTCTGGCCCGATCATACCCAACGTTGTGTCCAACAATAATTCGAGGTTTCGTCGGATCTCCTAGAGGAATGAGGTGGCGATCATTTTCCGATTCTCCTAGTAGCCACGGTGATAACCAGGCATACCAGTTGGTAGGACTGACTGCACATGCCACGACAGCAAACGAGCTCTCTTTCCACATCACTTCCGTATCGAAGCACAACATGTCCTCTTGCGGTGCATCTACAGCCTCCGTCCTTCCATCTGGGTAGTATTTCGTCCAACCGCTTTTCCTTACCCATTTCCTCGGTTTCGGCGGAGCATTTGAGCGTGTGAATTGCTTGGCTTTCGACAGATATGGTTCTGCCGCATCCATCCCAAGTTTATAGAAATGCTCATCGAGGGTCCTGCCTTGGAGCTCGGGGAGATCAAAAGCTATGGGTGGCGGGTTGTCGGTATTCTTCCCTAGCAGCTCATGTCGGCGCAGATGGTCCTTGGAGAGTTCGACCAATTCGCTGGGCGGAGGCGCAATGTTACCGGGAAAGATTTGTGAGAAGACATGGCTACTCAATTGCTGTACCCCTATCTCATTGTACCGCGCCTTCGAGGGTTCTGTTCATGCATTGTCAGACGAACATGCATTTTTAGAAGTAAGACGTAGAAGTTCCTACTCGAAAGAGATCTCGATTCTGCAGCAGCTTCTTTGTCCGATTTGACGGCCTCGGTCGCATATGGTCTCCATTGTAATTGTGGTACAATAGCCTGACGGCGATGCGCCCGGTGCCTCGCAAGCCGAACAAAGCCTGCGCATGGCCTACTCGTCCGGCCAGCCCGTAGTGAAAGCAGCATCTTGGGACTGGGAATCCTCAGAGCATGGCGATAGTGTTGGAAATTGATTATCTGTCTAGGGTGTGGAATTGAGATTCGTGAGGTGGTGAAGGTAGTGGTAAAAGTTCAGTAAAGCCGTTGGAAATTTAGGAAACGTTGATGTCTGTAATCGATAAGGAGCAAGAGAGCGGCCCGACTGTATTTCCGTTCATGACATGCGATTGCGCCCTCATTCATTCACTAGGTAAGACGGGAGTTGGTATCGAGTCTAGAACGTTCACTCACTTCACCTTCCTATTCCTTTTCCCCTTGTATAATTGAATCATTGAGTGAGACTTTTTAAATAAATAAGCAACCGAGCAAGCCGTCTCTATCCGTCTCAGTCACTCTCGACCGTTCTTTTTCCGCACCCAGTCATGCCTTTCCACTTCCTACCTAATGCCAATGCCCCGATGAACTTGTCGGAGAACGACCGTCACCTCTCACGTCTGAATGCCAACGCCAACGGGCAAGACACAAACTCACTCTTTGACACACTAGGCACTAGCCGTGGACACGACGAAGCTTCTCCATGGAGTGCCTCCTCATCAGGCACTGGTTATCAATCCTTGACGCTCCCTCCCATCAACCCCGACAACAATTTCGACCGTCTGCCTCCCTTCGACTTTGAAAACGAGTTATTCTACGCCCGCTACTCCCCCAACCCCTTTGATCGCCCAGCACCAGCACCGGCACCAACACCGACGTCAATACCAACATCAATACCGCCGTCCAACACAAACGTACACTGGCGCGAGGAAGAAACCCAAAACGGACAAGAACCGCCACCTTCAAATCAGCAGCAAGCGCGTCGGGCTGCTCCAGCAGTCTCACAATACCTACTCTCTGGATCACCGGAACCCGATCCTTTCGCGGACATCCTTGATCTAGATTTCCTTGGACCAGACTCGCCACTGCCCGAAGATATGCAAGAACGAAATTCCTCCTCCTTCGTCGACCTCACCGGATCTTCTCCTGTGGCACAGACCGCCATGGCACAAAGCAGGAAACGCAGCGCTACTACACCTGAGGAGGGGAGAGTTAGCAAGGCTTCTAGGACCAGCGTTTCGAAGGGACCGAGTGGCTTCAAGGATGACTTGGTGGGTACACTTAATTTAGTGGACATCGAGACCAATGAAGAATATGAGGCTCAAAAGGCGAAAGATCAGGCTGAGCTTGTCAAGAAGCAAAACCAGGAAGAGGCTACGAGATCGATCAAGTTGGGGGAATTTCAGTGCATTATTTGCATGGATAGCCCGAATGATCTGACGGTAACCTTTTGTGGTACGTACTCCTCTGTGGTAATTCGAAAGGACTTTAACTAACAACTCAAATCAGGTCACTTATTCTGTTCCGAGTGTCTCTTCCAAGCACTCAATGCTGGTGATAAAAAATGTTGCCCAGTCTGCAGGTCCAATATATCAGCACCTAAACCCGGAACTACTAAACAACCCAAAAATGGCGTCTTCGCCCTCGAGATGAAGGTTATGACGGCGCGGAGGAAGGGGAAACAAGTGGTACGTCAGTAATGCGAGGAAGTTAAGGACGCTGGCATGATCTTAATGAAACTTTGCTTGGGACCACGGAAGGACATCACATCAGGCGTATATGGAAAGGGCATACATGGACAGCATTGTAGGCGTTTTTGGCGAATAGCAGGCACCTTGACAGGACAGGCACTTGAGCTTGCAATTACGATAGATGGCAAGACATGAATGGGCTTGTGGGCAGCGGCAGTAGTCCCGATTTTCGTTTCTTTCTCTGGCGGATGGCAGGAGTGTCCGACTATTTATAGTCAAAGTTCAGAGGTTGTGTATGATGGATTTCCACAGCACATCCTGGCTAGACATCACCGCGAAGAACAAAATCAAAAACCAACCTAGCGAACTTGCTGGGCTTTATGGCCGCCATCATTCTCATCACTCTCGAAACACATATCATATTGTCTTTAAAGCTACGCTGGATGTCCTGCCCATTGTCATGATCATCTAATCAAATGAACATTTTGCTAGTCCACTGACTTCTGTAGATATATTACAAGCATGGTAAGCAGCAAGACAGAGCATCCAGCTGACGATACCCCATGGTATATCTTCCGTCCACTGCACTGGTTTGTGGGCTCCACCCTTCAAAAGTATCGTGCCTGCTCTCAAAATCCTACCTTCATTGTATAAAACTGAACGCTGGCCCTCCATCCACCCTCCGGCTTCAAGATTCCACCAACGAACATCACTCCAACGCCACAGGCTGCTAGCTTACCAGATAACCACAACCCTCCCAGTCTCTTATCATGCAAGCTACTCCATCTATCCTCTCAAACAAAATTCAATCATGATTCTTTTTCCCTTGTACTCACTCTCTCGCATGTTATCCGGCCTTTCTTCTATGCATCAGCCTTGCCTGCAACTCGGTTCCCTGCTGCCTTTGAGCAAAGCACCCCCTGTTAGTATGCGCAACCTCTCCCTTCTCCCAGTTTGAAGTTCGAAGCCCGGCGTTAACACTGCACCAGACAGACGCAGATTAAAACCGACACCTGCTATTATGTAATATGAGAAAGGATGTCCCCTCTCCTGCTGCGTACAAGATGGGGATGTGTCCGGAGCCTTACCACCATGTCCCTCTTCTCTTCGTTTCTCTTGTCTCTCAGAAAAGAGTCTTTGGTCCTGGAGTTGAGGCTTTGACGAAGGAATGGCGCCTTTACTTTTCTATATCTACCCGACGTTTCAGTTTTGATTCCTGGTTATCGATGTCCAGAGCCTCGCCGGGATCAGGGCTAGCTGTGTGGGATCTGCTGATGGTAACGCATGGGACGACGACGACGACCAAGGCTTTAGGTGGAAGAACTCCAGCTCCAACTCTAGCTCCAGCGATAGCGCCTGCTTTAAATGGATATAAAGCAGCAGCTATACCACTAACTACTATCAAGTTAACTCCCACTGTTAAGTTCAGACTTTGAATATCAAAGGAAGCTGAACCGGGGAAAGCTCGCTTTTTTTCTCTCTTGATTATCAAAATCAAGGGGAAGAAAAGCAGGAGGGGACGTAGGTGCGCGAAGAAAGTAAAAAGAAAGAAGAGATGCAGGCAGGTTGTGTGCCTAATTATCAATTCTACTAATTACCGACTGTACGGAGGAGGAGTAACAAAGTTTAGGAGGTTTTCAGACTGGGGAAGGGAATAGCTCAAGTAAGTGTTGAACCCAGGCATTGAATCATTACTCTCCCGGGAAACCTTTGGAGGGCTAAATATCGTACGTACACACATGTACCCTCCATGGCATTCAGACTCAGTACTAGCAACTATGAAAGAAGTGGAAAGGAAAAGAAACATGGCCTTATCCAAATTTAACAGTCTTAAAATCTATAGCTATATATAGGTACGTACATTATATATCTCCCCCCTCTAATCGTACTTCACAGCCCTTTTAAGCCCTATAGTACTGCGCTTGCTTATGCTTGTCATACCCACCAACACGCTCATGGCAGCTTCCCCAGTACGAACACGATATCGTCTTCGGCTTTTTGCCTGCGCCCTTGCAGATGGAATAGCTGTCGATGCCGGGACATTGCGTCCCCGTGGTACCGCTGTTATCGGTGCAGAAGCAGCCTCTAGCGATGCCTGTGAGTAGTTTTAGCAGCCGCTACCGCAGCTCCGTTCATCACTGTCTCAATTATTATAACGATAAGTCCGTTTTCATAAGGAATCAATAAGTAGTCCCTTGTATCTTTGAAAGCATCCTAGTGGCAGGTGTGTGTCTCGCTTGACGTCTTGGTTCAGGGGTTTGTTTACATTTTTTTTTAATACAAAAAAAAGGGGGAGAAAATAAAGAAGCAAAAACTCCGATCACAACCTTCCGGGTGTGTCATAGAAAAACCCCTCGGGGTAGGGTTTATTTCAAGCTCGGGTAAGGCGCATCTCGACCGTTCGTCCTTGGCGTATATGTGGACCTTTCGTCCTTGATTCGTCATTAACCGCTTGCTAGAGGAAATCCGTTAGTAGGAGTCTTTGAGTGAGCGGGAGGTACTTACGACGGTGAGTCGAGTGCCTCGATGGGCGAGAGAGTGGTGGCGGGTTATGTAAAGGAAGACAATTTTTTTCTTCTAGTTTCTTGTTAGTGTATAATCGTCGGTCTTAAAAAGGCTGTAAGGAGGCCCACCTAAGCGAGCCGACGATTATGTGTAGTGTGATGGAGAGCTGTTAGCAGATGGCTAGCTTCATCTCGAGTCAGGACTAATGATTTTCTTGATAGGTGGAACTATCCTTGACATTAGAGTATTCTAAATCGCGTTTTTAATATGGGGAAATGATATTCATGCTTATTGAAAGTGATTCATTTGGATACGATATTCTATAAACCAGTCTCCAGATGCTTGCCTCATCGAGTAAACAAACCATCGCATCCAAATATTGAATTCTTGATACCTATAAGAATAAAGCATCAAAATCTACGCTCAATGAGCAGTCAATGAGCCTGTACAGACTCCCAATCAGCTCTTCTTCGCCAGTCATGCGATCATTGTTCATCCACCAAGTCACTTTCCAATACGGCCTTCTCCTCTCCTCCTCCTCCTCCTCCTCCTGCCATATCCGATATCACTTGATAGTTTTAACAGAAATAACAATCAAAGTATCAATAAAAGCTTTATGTTTTTTTAAGGGTAGGTACATGAATGCCCCAGGCACCCCCCCCCTCCCCCCGCCGCCCCTCCTCTTTCTTATTTGAGAATCAAGATCGCAAGTCCCGGACAGCTGCTATGCGACACACCGAGTGCAGTATCTTCCAGTATACACACATAGTCAAAGGTAACTGATTAAACATTATCGTATATGAGAAATGCATAATCTATGAGGTTGGAGCTCCACGAGTATGAGTAGCTGAGAGAAAGCGAAGAGGGTGCAGATAGAAAGCAGATAAAGAAGGTATATGAGTCTAGAGGTGTGAACACCAGGATCAGAAGCCCTGGGCTATCTGAAAGAGAGATTTTCCTCAACGTATTTTTACTCCGGATTGGATGGAACTTTGTTATATGATCTCTACTTAGCACGTCGCCGCAACCCATGGGGGGTCCCTAAGGTCTAAACATAACATTAACGTCTCAAATACCAGCCCGACGTAAATCAATAATACTACTACTAATACTATCGGGTCACTTATTCTTCTGTGTTTATTTAATATCAGTTCTTAAATATTTATTTAGAGTCATTTAATTTAACGGATATATAATTATAGATTGCTCTCTATATTGAGCGAGTTATATATAGAAGCAGTCCGAGCGAAAATTATTAATACCATGGCCCCAAAATGTTGTCTCCTACTATTACTATATAAGAGTAACTGTTCTGCTACTAATCGTTTACTCACTCCCAGACATAAATCATCTCTTTAATGTTTCTATCTTGTGCTTGAAGATTTAATACGATACCATTGTCTCGATCCCCGGTCACGAGATCACGCGATACTCATTCACCGTCTAGCAATAGAATGATTCCGCCAAATATTCCTGATAGATCATAGGACTTCTTCAAATAAACTATCAAGACACTCCGAACCTTCACTTTCATTTGTCATTCCCAAAAGTCGACCTACCCGATCGACGACCATAATCATACCTCTTCTCAAAAACAACGACAATAACAACTAATATCACTTCAACAAAAACACCATCACACACAAACCAAACATGGCGCGTCTCCTCCACGACGTCGCGGCTCCGGCCCTCCTCCTCCTCATGCTCATGACGCCCTGCATCATCATGGTATCCATCGCCACCATCATCGTCAACACCACGACGTGGAAACCCCCCTTTGCTATTTCCACGCCCACTTCCATAGCTGCATCTACCATCCTCACAACCCACTTCCAAACGGACAACACGCTCATGGATAACATCTCGGTCCCGGATCAAAGCAACAGTCTCAAGAGTGCGACCGGCCTCGCCGATAGCCCCTCCGTCGCAACTGCTGGTGGTGGCAACACGCGCGCGAGCGACATCGATCTTAAAACTGAGAGAAGCACAACTTCTGATGTACATATCATCCGTCGGAGAAGAAGAAGAGCGCTCGCTCATCGGCCTTGATGTACATGCTGTGCTCGGGGCAGCTCTTGCGCTGCGCAAGGCTAGCTACGGAGGTCGTCCACGCGAGTCTCTGCAGGGTGGCCTGCTCCAGCGTGATGGACTATCATAATTCTTAATGGTATGCAAAGAGGTTGGGAGGCCGGCGGAGATTGGGCGTTGCTGGTGGTTTCATGAGGTTCATTCGTTTATACCGGTCGGTAGTCTTTCGGGAGAAAGAGCCAGGGAGATCGGTGTTAGGGCAGTTCGGCGTAGGGTTTTCAGCGGAGTCAACTCCTCGAATGGGGGGAGCTATATGGGTGGCTATTTGCTTGTGGGATGGCGTCTCTCTCTCCCCCTCCCTCTCTCGGAGGTTGTAGGCGGTGGGAGCACTTTGGAACGAAGTTAGACTTGTTACTAGAAACACGCTTCCTCTCTATGGAAGACAGATATTGTAATTTTAATCCACAGACTTTAACTATTTCTCGTCAAAGTGAAAGTGAGAGTGAGATACTTTGTTTTGAGGTATAAGGCGGAGTTCCCCTACTCGTACCGTTCGCATCATATGAGCGTGCTTTAATCCCAGACACTCACTCAACAGCTAGCTCACCAGACCAAACAGAACAGTCTCACAAGGCAGTCGAAATCGCCTGCAGCCCAAAATGCAGCATCTCTCTCCCGTATCATACATCATACAATTTAACAAAGAATTGGTCCTCGACAACAATCAACATTACTTGATCAATTGAACCTTACAGAAGAGCAAGACACTCGACATAGCAAACGATTCTCAGATCTCAGCCTTCAGAATCCTCTACCCCTTGTCCTCTTCCCAACCCATTTCAACGGTCTCTTCTTTCCTTCATGGATTCGCAGGTGGGAAGACGCCTTCAGCGGGAGGTGGGACAGGAGGCGCGGGCTCTAGATACATACCATCAGCGTCAGTTCAAAGCCTTAATACACCAGTCTCTCTCTCTCTCTCTCTCCCTCCCACATCCACTAATCGTCCAGACTCCATAAAATACCCATCCATCCACTTCACCCCACCTCACAAAGAAGCGCTCAAAAAAAAGAAGCGAAATCAAACTCACCACCCCTCCTCCCACCCCTCCGCGCACTCCTCCTCCTCATCCTCCTCCTCCTCCTCCTCCTCCGTCTCCTTATCCGCGCCCGCAGCAAGTAGACGTAAAACACGCCCAGCAGCAGAAGGATACCGAGGGAGACGCCGACGACGATGCCCACGATGGTACCCGTCGGGATGCCCGGCGTCTGGACGTCTGTTGCTGTTGCCGTTACTACTTTCGCCGTTATTGGATTTGTTGTTGGTGGATTCATAGATCTGTAATTCGCGCGCTGGGGTGGTTAACTCTGAACCCCCCCCCTTTTTTTTTCTTCTAATTTTTTTCTCTTCTTCTTTAGAGGAGGGGAGAAAAAGGAGGCGAGAAGAACATACGTGGAGAACCGCGAAGAAGGGTAAGCAGCAGCAGCAGCAGCAGCAGCAGCAGTCGGGAAATCGTCACCGAGCGGGATAGTCGTCGCAGAAACATGCGCGCTGCGGACTACCGAGATGTAATAATCCCCGTCCCTGTCCTCCTCGTCCGCGTCGTTTCGTCTTTGAATCTCCCACTCATCCATCCTCGTCCTCATCATCCCCGCGGCAACCTTCTTCCTGCCAGAACGCTCCTCTGGTAAAGACCAAGTAATAGTAGAAGTAGTGGTCGCAGTAGTAGCACCACCTGCCGCGACTAGACAGCATCCCGATTCCACCATCTCCTCAGCGCCGTTCTCGTGTCCTCGGCGCGGATTCCGAGGCGCCATTATATAGGTGTTGTGTTTTTAGGTATTGTGTATTGTATATAAAGCGGGAGGGGATCATTCGCTTAGGTTATTTACTCACTCACTTGGCGAACTCAAGACGACGACGAAGACGACGACGACGACGATGGCAGCGCTGTAATATTTCTGCTCCAGGATCATTCGTATGTAACAAGTCACAACTTCTTCCGCGCTTTCGAAGAGGGGAGCGGGATAGAGGGCGAGGCTGGAGGCTGTTGTTATGCTGCTGGGATGGGTGAGCTGTGTGGCTTGTCCAGATGCTGGCCTGAGGGGGAATGGAGCCTTGCGATGGAATTGATTGGTGCCGGTGGGCGCAGAGAAGGGAGGGTCAGTGAAGGAGCGGCCTTCGTGCTGCGTTGGGTTGTCGTGTGCGTGAAGTGTGGACGTGGTTCGTTCGCTGGCAGCGCAGGCCCGGGGCCTGATGTGACGAGTATCCTGCGTTGGGTTGGTCGCACTGCGTTTTTGAAGGGGGGGGAAAAAAAGTTTCCGTATGCTGTGAACGACTGCGCTGCGACGAGGCGACGAAGTGTGGGCTGGCAGTGAATAAAAATGACGCCTACTTTGTGTATGTATTCCTATTCGTCTGATCTACCTAGAAACCCTCCCGCACCAGTACACGAACGTCGTCGCTTTCACTTGTTGATATCTACTCCAGAAGGCCGCCAGTTCAAAAGAGAAAGGATGCCTGCTATCCATCCGGACACGCAACGGACCACGAACCACCACATGGGACCGCGAGGTCAAGAATCTGGGTACGTCCGCAGGAACTTCTCGTACTCCTTGTACGCCTGAGCCGTGACCCACGCATCCGGTCCGTACATCTTCGCGAACCCGGAGCAGGATTCCCTCCACAGCTGCTTCGCCGGGGAGTGATTGCCCAGGCTCGAAGCACGCATGGCCTCGGCGTACCGGCCCTTGCTCTTCAGCGTCTCCGGGTGCAGGTCGCCCAGGGTCCGCTGGTAGGATTTGCAGATCTGGCGATACAGATCCTCGGATTCGCGGGCGAACGGGCCGCCTCTTTCGTTCTTCAGGAGGGCGAGGTTCGTCAAGCACTGGAGTGTCTTCTGATGCTCGGGGCCGAAGATCCAGGACAGGCCCTCGTGGGCTTGTCTGTGCATACTCTCGATGGAGTCGAGAATCTGCCCTCGCTCGGATTGGTATCGAGGGAGTTGGGCGCGCATTATCTCGCCTTTCCACGTCAGACTCATGAGGGTGTCGGGGTGTTCGTCGCCGAGGAGCGTCTTGCGCCCAGCCAGTGCGAGATCGATTTTCTCCAGGGCGGTGGGATGCTGCTTGAGACCAGAGAGAATGATGGCGCGATCATGCAGGGCGGCGAGCTGATCTGGGTGGAAATCGTTCCCGGACAGAGTGCCACTTGTCAGGAAAGCGGTTCTGTCATTCAAGACGCGCTCGCTTAGGAGATCTGCGGCTTTGCATCCTTCTTTCAAGCGAAGAACTTCGACGAGCTGGTGCTGACTCGATAATGTGTCGGGGTGCGTCGAGGCTTCGAGCCATGGTCCATGCTCCCTCGTGGTCAGAACAGTTTGGTTGATTTGCTCTGCGACATCGTAATTGCCACGCCCGAGGAAGATCAAGGCGAGCTCACTTCTGCAAGAGGTGACGATCGGGTGGGATTTTGACAACACGGTGCCGAGACGATCAATGCATTCAAGGAGGAGGCTCTCTGCTTCCTCAAAGTCGCTAATGGAAATCTGTAAGATATCAGCTTTGAGCACACTCTGGCACGATTTTTGTCGACTTAAGCTGAGGAAATAGGAGGAGGAGACGAATTAGACTTACCGCCTTGCACCGAAGAATGCTCGCCTTCACGGCTCTTGAGTGTACCGTTTCGGGGTGATCCGCGCCGAGGATGGTCTCCCTCCCAGCCACCGCTCCCTGAATATAGCGGAGAGCTTCGTCATACTTTCCATTCCTTTTTAGAGCCTCAGCTAGGTTGTGGCAACTGCTGAGAGTATCCGGATAAGAGCTGCCAAGGCTTTCCTTTCGCTCTGTCAGAGCTTTTTGACACTGAGCAATGGCGTCTCGATATCGACCTTTGTGCATCAGAACAACTCCTAGATCGTCCATAGACACCGAAACAGAGGTCTCTGACTCATCTGAGGCTTGTACCGTGAGTAAGACTTGTCTGAACATCTCGATGGCTGAATCGTACTGATTGGCACAATCGGCCATCTCCAGCTTGGCCTGCATTCGCTTCTTCCAGAGCTTCCCGGGATCAGAATCTGGAGACGTCTTTTGGAGAACTTCATGCATCTCCCGGTACTTTGCCAGGGAATGCAGAAGCGACACATTTTCCTGAATGATGGCGAGTTGTTCTGGTGGTATAGGTTCAGGGAGAGCACTCCGTGCAAGCTCTGTCATCTTCAGCGCTTCAAAATACATGCCCTTGCGTTTGAAGAAAGTGGACTCCCGATGATAGATTGTAGCCACTGCGATCTTCAAGGCATTGTTGTGTAGCTTGTAGCCCCTGATAAGATGTGCAAAACACTGCTTCCACCAGGCCCGCGTATCCTGAGTGGCGTCCGGATACACCTTGGAGAAGGAGAGAATGATCTCGTCGTACCAGTTTCGCTCCTCGGCGATGTCGTCCTCGCTTCTTCCGCCATCGATGCTAGCGAGGTAGTTTCGAATTGCAAGACAGACCAGAGGGTGGATGGTATAAGTCTGCTGCGAAACGTCCTCCACGATGATGAAATTGCCTCTAACTAGGACCAATATGATCACCATGTCGATTGGATCATCGGCCGAAAAAACCTTCCACGGCACCGAGACGCCGCCTAGGTAATAGAGCTGGTAGAGGAAGCGGCTGAATTTTGGGTATCTTTTCCGATATTTTCGAACATCGAACACGCCTCTTCCGAAGACGGAAAGACCATGGTCTGGTGCTGAGACGGGATCTAGCGTACCTAGAAGGCGCAGTTTGAACTGGTCTGCCCGTTTGTATAGGTCAAGGAATTGCGACACGGTCATTCCAGTACGGTTCACCACTTCGGCGACCTGAACGAGAGCTCGGGGTAGGTAAGCCATGACACCAACAATTTCCTGAATCTGGATCTCGGTTGCTGAAGAGGCTTCAGGGCTCAGGTGGTTGCGGAAAAGAACAAGCGATGCATCTGCGTCCAATTCACCGACTTCGCACAGGCCGTGAGAGCCAGTCAGCTCCCCAGCGTTCTGAATACTCCTTGTCAATAGGATAATCGTGCCTTTGAATTGCTGTAGCGCGTCCATGAGTCGTCCGTTAGGCAGGTCATCTTGCAAAAGCTCGAATCGGTCTGCTGTGTCCACCACCAGCATGGTCTCCGAGCCCCAGTCAAGCCTGATCCACTCTTCCAGTTGCATACCTGGGGCAGCATCGGACTTTCCATCCGTGACTCCCAGGTCATCAGGCCCAAACCAGAAAACTGGTGTTGTGGGAGAGACGTGGCGCACTCTGTGGACGAACTCAATCGCAAGCTCTGTCTTCCTGCGAAGCATCAGTTCTCTGACCGGCTATGATATCTGAAGAGACTCACCCGACACCTCCTAGCCCAACAATAGCGATACGAGCCTGGGATGTCTGGCCAGGATTCCACATGCCAAAAAGCTGGCTGAGTGCTGGAATACGGCCGACGAAGTCTAAATTGCGAGAATGGGGGACCTTGAAAGTAGCAGGCGACGATAAAAAAGGTTCCCGAGGAACTTGAAATTCGTTTGTATCAGCGTGGCCTGCCTCCTTCTCGGCCGAAACCTCGTTTCGGTTCACCAGCTTCTTCGTTGCAGCTTCTAAAGATGCCAGAAGGATATGGGAAATCGCATCGGAGAGTTGTTCCTGGGCCATGGCTGGGTTCTTGGAATCTGCGAGAGCCTCGGGAGGTATGGAAATCGGGTCTGATGCTGCTTCGATTGGGATGTCAACAGAGGTATTGGCCTCCGGCTCGACAGCATTGACGAGCTCGGCTATGTTTTCGTCGACGGCTTTGCTGGCCATTGTGAGCAAAAAGTTGAATCCGGGAGAGGAGGATACATGACGGAAACGGCGGATTGAAAGTATATAAATTAAAGCGAATTTCAATCGTGTTCGCCATTCGGGTAGGCAGCCAGCAACCTCGCCACTACCGACCCCAAGTTACGCAAATATGAGTCGCATTTGTTCGCGTACACGACGTGAGAAACCCAAGAATCTCGTGGCCCAGCAGCTTGATAAGACACGAGGAATGTCAATGATGCCCAGCAAGCAACGTGCATGAACGTGTTTCGATGCCGACTTCCAAGCTGCATTGCCACGAAAAGTGGGAGGTTACAAGCCACAGTTATTTTATCAAATCGCTTACGTGCCTCGTGTCTACCTGTTATGAGCGAGGTTTTGATGAGTTGGCAGGTTGGCAGCTTGCTAAGGTTGGGCGTCGAACGGCGAGCAGACGCGCTTGGCTCGGAGCCCGATCAGTTCTGTAAAGCGTATTAGAAATCACTTGCTCTTACCTATACTGACAGGTGTCAAACGACTGGGATATTCATGTCAGCCATAATAGCAGTCGCTGGTTCTAAAATAAAAAATTTCTGCTACAAGGCGGGATTGATGAGTGTGCTTTGATTTGGAGGCAACCCTTGGCTGGGCCTGGGCTGGGAACAGCACTCGAAGCTTAAATGCTAAAAACCCTGGAGCCAGTAGATCACAGAGCAAGTATCCCTATCGAAACATATTGATCATGAATAATACTTGATAAAATTTAGTTTCAATCAAGAATCCCCCGAAGAAGTTAAGAAAGGTTAATAGTATAAACAAACATGACACATCATTCTGGCAAAATTAACGATTGCTACGACTACCCTTCTTACACCCTTCGACATGTCAAGAAGACAACTCAAAGTCTGGAGGTGGCAATGCCGGAAAGCTCGCCTGGGGCATGATAGTTAGGCACCTTCATGTCGAGGGCACTCCCGCTGTAACCCAGATCTTCAGCAGTAAGAACAGCGCACTTCTCTCCGATGAGCAGAGCCGTGGAGTCTGGATTTGTGTATTAGCTTGGATGGGATGATGGGAGGTTCAAGATACATACAAGTGTTGCACCCGACGTTGTCAGGACAAATCGACAGATCGGCGACCTTGAGATTCTTCACACCGTGAACATTGAGACGCTCGTCCAAAACGCCGTGTTTGACAATGCCGTTACCTTCCTTTGGAGCCATTGAGCACGTCTATTTCGGTGTTAGCAAGTCATGCTTCCCCAGAGTATCGATATTGACTTACGCCCAAAGAGTGCCATGTGGTTTCGACATGGCGTTTGACCCACTCCTCAACGTGAGCAATGTCTTCCTTAGTGTACTTGAGATCCTCGTACACGCTCTGGGAGTTGCTGTTCAGGATGTTGGGCTGGGATGGCTTTCCAGCTTCGACGGGCATGGACCATGAGCCGTGCTGGATACCTGCTGTGAGATTGCCAGGAAGTGCATATGCGTTGGTGGTTAGGAGGTCCATATCCTTGGCACGAGCTGGAGAATCGAAGGCGTAGTGTGGGTGCATGCTCTGGACTTCGCCCGCGTAGGCTTCCATCCGACGGGCAGTCTCACCTATGTGGTTGTCAACAAACTATCGACAGCGGGAAGGGGCAACAGCTTACGTGACTTGATGTATCCCCAGACCATGGGAGCCATATCCCGCTCATCATTCATGAAGCCAGCATCGAAATCAGGGGCCTCATAGGGGTTGGGAGACACGATGTGAGTCTGGCCACGAGAGAATGGATACTCCAGGAAATGGAACATGGTGAAGAAGTTCCCAGGTGGCATCAGCATATGGTCTCCAAACCATCCTGCGATGACACTGTAATGCATCACAGGCTTGTCGGGCTTGTTCTTAAAGTAGCTGTCCCAACCGCTCCGGAATTGTGGAGTTGGCCAAGAGTCCATCTCCTTAAGCTCTTCCTCAGTTGGTCGGACTTTGACACCGGCGTCGATGCCGTTAGTTGCCAAAGGACCTGTGCCCTTGATATTCCATTCGTCAAATACTCTTTTCTGGACTTCAGGAACGCCTCGGACGAAGTCGTCGAAACTCTCAGTCCCTGGCTTAGCTCGGTAGACGGAAAAGGTCAAATAGTGGTCCTGGAAGTTGAGACCAACACCAGGAAGCTCAACGATGGGCTCCACACCAGCCTTCTTCAACTTCTCGGGGTCACCGATGCCAGATCTTTGGAGGATAAGTGGCGATGAAAGTGTACCGCCGGAAACGATTACTTGCTTGCGCGCACGGAAAGTGCGGGATTGCTGCTGCTTGGGGAAACTCGTATCAACAATGCATCTGTAAAGGACTCTCATCACTTACGGACGGGTGAAGCGGCTTGGTAGGTACGGTTCTCACGCCGACGGCAACGCCATCCTCTATGATTACTTTGTCCACTTTCGTATTGCATAGGAGGTGGAGGTTCTGGTAAACAGAGCGAGTTGAGTGGACGTATGCGTGGGCAGAGTCGGATCGGCGACCAGTCTAGATAGTTGTAAGCCAGGGGTTGAGATTACACCGCAATTTACATACGTCTCGGTTAATCCACTTCAACCAGTGCTCGGCTCCGTGGCCAGTGACTAGATCCTGGAGGTCATCGGTGGTTGGAATGCCCTGTGAATCGGCAGCTCTGAGGAAGTCTTGCATCACCGGATACGTGTAGTTCCCGAAGGAGACCTTGATTGGGCCTTCGAAACCGTGGATGTCCCTTTTGGCGTGGTAAGCAGAGCACCGAGTCTCTCAGCTGAGATCTCACCTGTTGTTGGAAGCTCTTTGGTATGTTTCATGCTTCTTCATCAGAGGGATGAGTTCCTTGGTAGTCCAGCCCTTGGCCTGGAAGTCATCATAGTCAGATGCACTTGCTCGAGTATACATCATGAAGTTGATTGACGAGCCTCCACCAAGGATGTGAGCACAGGGAACAATAGCCTGACGACCTCCAAGCCACTTGGACGGGCGAGAGCGATAGAATGACGCTGTCTTGCTGTCGAGCTTCATGTTACGGGGATCTATTGCCGTGAGTACTGCTATACTGAGACAATTTCCTGAGGGTTTGGTACTCACAGATTCCCGGTCGGAAGACCCATGGATTGTTGAGGTTGCTTTCCCCTCCCTCAATCAAGAGAACTTGTAGGTTGTGGTCCAGGTTGGCCAGTCTAAACATCATGTTAGTAGTTGCCATCAGGATAGTGCGTCGAGCTTTCGGAGGACCAACCGGCCAGCAACAACACAGCCGGTACTGCCACCTCCACACACGATGATGTCGAACTCATCGGGTATCGTCATATTGAAAATCAACACCAGAGAAACGTGACTAGGCTGTCGTTCAATGTTTTTCTTCCGATCCAAAGATGTAGAGCCAGGTAATGCTTTCGAGTGTCCTGGAATCCCAGATCATGGCAGGATCTCCCCCCTTTTAACTTCCCCAGTTCCCCAGTTCCTCAGTTCCCCAGTTCCCCAGTTTCCCAGTTCCCCAGTTCCCCAACTTCCCCAGCTTCCCCTCAACCCCGCACGAGAGGTTTGCCTAGGCATGCAAGATCACACGAACCAACGCTCTCGCAAGAAATCCCATTGGGTTCGTACAGGCAGCCAAACTGCGCTATTGCCTTGTGACCAGAAGAGGAGAGCAGCTACCCCTCACTTAGTAGACTTGGTTCCTTGGGATTATCTATACGGACGTAAAGAATGAACAGCATGGAAGAGACAGAAACCGAAAGAGAAACGGACACCGAGTGGCTACTTTGGCCTTGGAGGCGAGCCGAGAACGACGCTCCCACCACCAGACGGTAGTCATCGGAAAAAAAATTACATCTGATACATACATACACATATATGTAAATATACATGTATAGATATAATCATGATCAATCCGCCTGCTACGGACGGGACTACCGTATCTGCATTCGTCCCCTCCTCTCGTCAGCCATGCCAACCTTCCCCCGCAGATCGGCGTCGGAGGGGGTGGCATCCATCGTTTGCGAACCATACACACACACAGCTTTCTTGCACCGGATCAGAGGTTCATTCATTCATGCATAGATCGTCCAGAACAAGAACAAACAAGAAGTACCGAAGAACTGCAGACGTCGCGATCGAGTCTAGCGGATTGCAAGGGAAAGTGAAGCGCTGCATGGCCCTTGGTGGAAACTCTGATATATAAATTTCCCCGCGACTTGACCTTGACGCGGGGATCTCGGCGTTAAGTAAGAGTAGGACTTGTTGACGTCGCAACTTTTGAGGCCCTTCTTCAAGATAGGGGAAAGTATTACTCGGCGGACCCAGTTTAGCCCTATAAATCGTAGAGCGGTGGTTTCTGAATGGCTCCAAGTCTTGCCAACTTCATTGCACAGACTAAATACATGCTTAAAGATGCTTTTCAAGTCTAAATCGCGACATCTTTATTGGTTCAAGCCCTGATAAGAAGAGCCCTTGCAGAACTATACTTCCGCCCTTTACAGTAGAGTTGGGGGAGGCTAATCGTCGGCTCGCTTAGGTGGGCCTCCTTTCAGCCTTTCAGTCTTAGTCGGTATAAGCGACTGCGGATCGAAAGCGAGTGCGGATTTTTCGAAATGTGTTAGAAATTTTTATATATTATAGCAATTACTATTATAATTAACTAAAGAATATTTATATAGATAATTAATTTACGAGCATACCTTTTTCCGAAACATTTAAAATCGTATTATTAATCGATAACAAGCTTGCTATTAAGCAGCAAAGTAAAGAAAATCTTGAATCTATTGTAAAATAACAACGCGTCGATAAGATTTAAAAAAAAGGAAAAGATGTTAAATATCGTAAAGGAATCGCATAATTGAGCGCGAGCGTAAAAGTATTATACGAAAACGCTTTGCTATAAGCTTAATTATTAAAGACGACGATACAATCAATACTCATTCCAATTCTCGATTCGAAAGAGATTTAGTAGATATAACAACCTCTTAAGCGTTAAATTTTGCGGCCTCGTAAAAGGTATTCCTCGACCAACTCTCTCTTAACCCGAACTTTCTCTCGATAACGATAATTTGATAATTACAACCGATACTATTAAAGACCCTTCTTTAAAGCAAAATGTTTTTCCTTTTCTTAGTATTAATATCGATAGCGATAGCTTCAATTCTAATAGTAATAGAGATTCAAACGATTCGTTGCGTAAGGTAAAAGACGAGTCAGATTCTAATGAAAATAGCGATCGATAGTCAAATGTTTTATCAGATGATACGATTTTAGGTGTTTCGAAAGAAGATATAATAATAGATTGATTATTTATATAAATATTTTTGGGTTGTAATAGTATTTGCTATAGTATATAAAAATTTCTAACTGAAAGGCTGAAAGGAGGCCCACCTAAGCGAGCCGACGATTAATCCTCCAAATCTTTTCCCAATCAATCTCCTCGTCCGAAAATCATTTCAGGTCATCTTCTGATTCAAAGCGGTGGGCCTATTACGGGGGGAGGAATGCTCCAAATATTTTCCCAATCAATCTCATCATTCGAATATGCCTTCATTTCATCTTCTGTCTGAAAGCATTTGGGCCGTAAACCCAAATCAACGTTGTCTACTACGAACGATGGAATATTCATGTGATGTTGCCAATGGGTAGCCTGAATCCATGAGAAGCGCAGAATTTGATCAGGCATGTGCATCCCTGCCTCCCACTCGATATAATCCGTAATGAGTGTCTCGTTTTCGCCCCATAAGTTTTGTTGTATAATACGACCTTCTGCAATCTCATGATTGTAGAATCGCGGGATCCATACTTTCCTGATATCGTCTGTTCTCTTCTTATCCGCTTTGATAGCACAATACCAATTCCCTGTTCTCCTTTGGTCATTTCTCCAGCCAGGCTTGTTTACTATTCAGATAATTAGCTCCGCGTAGTAAGTAGCGATCTAAATAGATCAACTCACGCAGGTAAAAGCCAGGTCCTGTTTGAGATTGTGAAGTTCTCTCTCCACGCAAGTCGTTGAATTGATTGAGACGGTTAGCCTGCCTCTATAATTTGCGTAATTAGTATATGAGCTTATGCTATTCAAATCAAGTGAAACTTACTCCGGTAACCATTGCATAGCCGATGACTCTGTCTCTACTCCAAGGCCATGAATGAGCTCCATTGAAGAAAAAGCTCAAGGCTAGCACGATCGCGAAGAGAGAGTGGGATCGTAGCATCGTGTTTGTATAATCCTTTCGATGCGAGCTAACACAAGGGAACAAGCTTGCTGCTTGCAAAGAACGAGGACGATGAAACAAATCTGCAGCAGGGGCAAGAAGAAATATATATCTCTTTCTTGAACCCTACTCGGAATTTCGACGCCGGATACAAATGATTGTACGGCTAATAATAATCAGTGCACCGACTATTATAATCTGTCTTTTTAGTCTTATATTGAAGATCCCCCTCCGATCCCCCCCATGAATACGTAAAGAGCAAGATCCCAAGGGTGGCACGAGCCAAAACACAGCAAAAGTCTAGGTACCCGTGTCACACTTGGGATCCTACCCTCTATTTATGCGGGGGGATAGTTAAACACAAAGTCAAATTTACGCTTAGCTAACTATTTATAATATTGCAATATTTCTTTCCAATTCGTAAGGATCAGCGTAGATAGTTACTGATAATCAGCGAGCTGTATTATACTAATTCGTCTTTCTGTTCTTATGTTGAAGATCATCCTAAATACTCTAAATACGGAGTCAAATTCAAGCGTAGCTAACTATTTATAGTATTGCAATCTTCCTTTCCAATGCGGAAGGATCAACGTAAGTAATTACTGATCGTCAGCGCACTGACTATTAGCAGTAGTTGTTCGTCTTTCTGTTCTTATATTGAAGATCATTTTGAATACGAAATCAAATTCATGCGTAGCTTACTATTTAAGATGTTGCAATATTCCTTTCCAATTTGAGAAGAACAACGTACGGAGTAATTACTCGTAATAAGGCGATACAAAAGCTTCGTATCCAGTACAAAGGACTAGCAAACTTGGCAATCAACAGCCTGAGGCAAACGAAGGGGAGATCTAGAGAACATACGGCGTGCGAATTATGAAGACAGGAAGTGAGGCTGGAGCTCAGAATTTACTGTAGAGATAGGTAGCAATGCGTGGGTGGTCACACCTCGCGAACGGAATGGCGCAGTCATACTCGGTAGGCAACGCTGAGCCTTATGGATATATTATCAAGGGGTTGTGATTGGGTCGGTAAATAGTGAGATGCAAGACGCTACTGTACGACAGAGTGAACGACTACATAGTAAATAGACAGGAGAAAATGCGTAGAAATTCTAGAAATTTTTCAAATAGAAGGCAAACCTTGAGTTTTCAAAAGCCTGTTATTGGTGCAGGTCGTCTGTACTAAGAAGTAATTAAAAGATTTATTGAATACGATAATGGAAACAGGAAAGCTTTTTATTTTAAGGTACGCGGAACCAGGCTCTTATATGACAATTTTCTCGCGCGAATATCGCCCAATCTTTTGACTCTTCAAGAATCCAATGTCTCGCGATGAACGTTTGTGAACTGCACTGCCTGCTCCAATCTTGAGCAGCGAGATCTGCTTTTCGGCTTTCAATCCTATTGGCAGTGCCTTGATCTCCTCATCGGCGGATGCAAGGATGACTGGCGCGTCATTTGCCCTTTTCGAGTCTTTTGGTTGTTGCGGTAGACTCCTCTGGTATGAATCCGCGTATTTGATCAATTCCTTCAGGACACCTTTGAGATAGACGGATTCTTCAATGCCCTCCAATGCTGCGCTGACTTCAAGCTTCAAGCTGGCAATTAATTCTTCTGCCTCGAATAAATCGCCGTCGGCTAATCTAGCTTCTCCAGATAACCATCCGACCGTCCCTATGGCGTCGATGCAATTGTTGAGCAAGCTGGAGATGAGTATGATTGCGTTGTCCTGGATCCCGGCCTCTTCGTCGAAAATCTCTGTCTCGTCAATATCGGTGTATCTGGTGGTCCATCCTCCGCGTGCAAGCTCGAATCTGAGAAGGTAGACCAGACAAACGATGTCCTGATTGGAGAAAATCGTTTGGAGAGCAAGTGTGATATCGTCACTTGAACAGATGTATAGCTTGGAGAGAGCCAGACTCAGAGCAGCACCGCGAGTGCCGGAGCCAGGTCCAAGTTGATATTCCGCCAGCTCCAAGTCCGCCTCTGCCTCTTCTTGGAGCTTAGCAACCTGCTCCTCAATATTTTCATCATCACCATGAGTGAGAAGACCTTGTTTCGTGCCTGGGTTGTCACCTAGTAATCCGAGACTCTCCATCAGTTTCCGAATTGCGTAAAGTAGCTCAGGAGCCCCTAAATAGTTCTTTGCCACAACGGCATATAACAGATCCATATCAGGGTCGATCTCCAAGAGGGCGTTCACGAGCTGTCCGGCAGGAATTGAGACGAGGGAAACTCCACGGACTCTTAAGGCAGCCTCGATATTAGCCACGGTCATATATCCATTGGAGGTCAACCACATGAAAGTGTTTAAAGGATAGAAGGTGATGGACAAGCTAAATTCGTTCCCCTCATTCGTAGACCACGAGAAAATCTTGCTCAGTGCAAATATTACCCATCGTCGATCCACGTCGGAGGGTAGAATTCTGCGCTTCGGATACTTCTGACTTGAAATATCTCGGTTTGATGAAACGTCCATTGTGTCGGCTCCGTTGATATTTGGGGGTTTCGATTGCTCGGTCCAATGTGCTCCAAGTCGATGCTCGATTCTCCTGTCAAATTCCAACTCGTCACACTTTCCCGACGCAAACAGGCTCTCAATGTCAGCTATCTGCTCATCCCAAGGCTGCCCAAGACCAATTGAGCCTGGTAAGAATTCATCCAATGTAGCTAGCCCAAGTTTTGCCTTTCTGAAGCTCAGAGCGCCTTCGCGTCCTGAACGTGTTTGCTCCCTGGCAGGGCACCCAAGGGAATCGATCAGCAAGCCGGCAGCACGAGGTTTACCATGTCGGTCTTGGGGGCCATCGACCTGCACTCCGACAAGATCATTATCCACAATGGCCATTGCGGCACCGAGCTTTGGGAAATAGGCAATGAATTTGCAAACATGGCTTGAATTACCATCTTCGTCACCTCGTTTTCGCTTGAGAGACTCATTTGGTGAAGGTGCAAGCTGGATTTCCGCTAATTTCGATTGATACCGTGGGTTGTAAACAGTAATCGAATTCTTGGAAGAGATCATGACCGCTGTATTCGAAAGTCGCAAGAACGACTGAGCGCCAGGTGATCTGATCTTAGTCTGCTCTTTCGGCAGAGTGTCGCTTAGATCAAAAGTGGTCAAAAAGTCGTTGCTCAATTGTTGCAAGATGCCAGTGGAAACCTGGATACTGAATGCTGCTTTTTCCGGCGAGGTCTGAGCGGGTATTTCGGCCGTCAGAAGTGAGTCTACCGAGTGTTTCATACCTTTCGCAAAGGCAGCTGTTCTCCTAGGCAGACTGACGATGTGCAAAGTTCTCTTGAAAGGCCCCCCGGCGGATTTGGTGACTATTACCAGAATCTCTGGATTGAACCCGCCTTCAACAATTTCTTGAGGAAAGAGGGCGAGCACATCCTGACGACCCTTCAAAATCCCTTGGCTTGCAGAGTATGCATTTGTGAGCTGCGCAAACTCAACCTTGGAGTTCTTGATAGTTGTGGCTGCATCTCGGAAGAGCGCAGCTGCAGGAGAGGTCCATTTTTCGTCGAGGCTGTCTCCTTCATAGCATTGCACCTCACCATTTTCCCTGACTGCAATCAAATCCGAAACGATTCCAGACACGCCCGAGGATCTGCTACCTGTGATCGTTCCCAGGTACACAATTGGGCTGCGAGAGTTTTCCACCTTCCGGCTCGTTGTTGAAGACTGCGCCGGCGCCATCTCTTCAGTACTTTCGTGGAACAGTGTAATCTCGGCTGGTGATCCAGCGGTGGAGACATATGTTCGGCGTTCGATTTTGCTTTTCGAGATTCGGGTTCTGATCGAGCTTGGAGGACATGTAAAGGACGATTGTGGGGGAAGCGCATAGGACGTAAGAAGCCTGGATGAAGAAATCTAGAGGGGTGAGACACGATACCGATGCAAGTGGGAGGATCCATACGTCGTATAAATTTATGCCCTCGCCATCAATTCCTACAGCCAATTCGGATCTTTTTCTCATCTTTGCACCGGGCGCTCCTCCGTAAATCTCAGCCACCACATACTGCCCCTTTGCGTGGTCAATGGGTTGCGGTAGGTTAGCAACCACATAGGGTTTTTGTAACAGGAATCGCGACGCCATCTTGAGGGGTAACGTTGGGGTGGTGATGCTGGTGGTGCCGCAGATGGAACACCAAGAAACATTGAAATATCAGAAAAATAATTGCAAGGAAACGGAGGTCGGGCATCCGGGGTCCGGCGCTAACGAAATGGCCCGGGCGTAGCGTCAGTGGTAGTGGGAAGTCGCGCCTCGGGTCGCGACGCCAAAGAAACCAGAACCAGTCCCGTATGACCATTAGAACACTACAAAGCTACACCATTCAATCTATGATCTACAATCAGTCTCTCCTATTTCAATCTCTTACCAGACAGCAACCACTTACCTCGCTTTGAGAAATTTAGCAACAGCATCACAGTTCCATCCTGGAATCGAGAACGTCTGTTTCGATGCTGCACCACGCGTAAGCAACGCGTTCTCTAAGAGCAGTTTCGGTGCTCCGAATGTCAATTCTCGTTGAACGGAGTATGGGGGAGAAGATATCTACAATGTATCCTCTCTTCCAGAAAGGTGCAAGTAAGTCAATCACTCCGGACTGCTTTTAAGCTGATCATTTAGCTGACCACCCCTTCTTAATAGAGCCCAAGCCACCACTCCCGGAAGAAAATCGCATGGAACCCAAGAAACATGCCGACGATCAACCCAATGCTGCGCCAAAAAATAAAGTACTAGGCCGTCCTCGTAAGAGGACAAATCTTCTAGAGGCAGGATCTCCCGACGTAGGGACGCCGAAGCGTGCAGTGCCTGCGACCTCGAAAGCAGTCAACCAAGCGCAATTGCTAGAGGTGGACCCCAACAATAGCAGGAGGAAACGGCGGAAGACTTCATCCTCAAATGGACGAGTCTTGCCTGCTGAACCAGCAGAGTTGAATTCAAGCTCTCCAGGAGCTCACAAATTGGAAATGGCCCATCACGAAGGACAAGCAAAGGCACCTGCGTTTACCCAGGATACCACGACCTCCAGCGCAAAGATGAAGAAAAATAATCACCAATCCAAGGGCTCAGTGGAGTCGCTGCCGACGGATCTCGCAGCTGAGGTCTCATGTAGTGATGACGAGCTACACTCGGTTGCTCAAGGAACTTCGACCCTAGCGCACATCATACAACCGGATGTACTCTCTTGCCCCAGCTCTAAGCCGAAGCCGCCCCAGAATTTACCGAAAAATCCTAAGAAAGTGCTACGACTGAATCCAAAAACAGGGACAATAGGCTCTCCACCTCCACCAAAGCCTTTTGACACAGTAGAGCACAACCCCCCGAAACAAACCAAAGGTCGTGGCAGAAAACCCAAATCTTTGATTGTGAGGATTCGTTATGGCAAGGGAGAGGATGATTCGTTGGGCATTGGAGAGAAAATCCACCATATCATTAACCTCCCTCCGAATATTCACACTACCAAAGATGTCGCTCCTGCAGCTCCTACAACGACGCCTCCAAAACCTAAAGCTCCAATGTCGACGAAGCCGATTCACCCGTTGTTCCTAGGCAGAGTCGCTCCCAAAGACCCCAATCCCCCGAAAGCTCCTTCGGATGCAACTGAGATTATCGACTTCACGATAAAAATTAAGCCTACGACCCAGGCAAGAGTGAGGTCAGGTTCTCGCGAGACAGGAGCCTCGCCGAAAAATCCAGCAGTGTCGTTTTCTGGTATCTCAACAAAGACTGCCAAATTCCCAGGGGCAGTTGAGCCTGCGTGGCCTTGGCAAGGCATGGTTCACGTCCGTGGATTTGATGAACCTGCACGAATACCAAACTCAGAACGCACTTGTCTGCCTTTCAGCTCGCAGAGTAAGAAATCAAAATATCATTCGGTCGAAATTTCCTCCGCAGAAGACATCATTGAGACCCTGGCTTCGCAGTTATCCATCAAGAATGTTGTTGAGAGCATCCAGGAAGTCAATCCCGATGAATACCCTTCAGCTCCTCAGTGTCTCCGCGTCCCTACCAAACACTATGAGTCTGGTCTTGCCATTCAGAAGAGGGTACAGAAGGAGCTGAAAAGCCGTCTGGTGCCTCCTAAAACGGCTGCTGAGAGTTCCAGCGAAGATGAGTTTCAGCTGCACAGTAAAAATCGTGCCAATGTACATCCTGCTCTCGCAAGAGTGTATGATTCCATCCCCACATCTTCCTCCGCGTTTGACAAAGGTCAATGTGAGACTCATCCTTGGGCCCAAAAATATTCCCCGAAGTGCGCCGCAGATGTACTACAGCCTGGTCGTGAGGCTTTGATTCTCAAGGAATGGGTTGAAGCTTTGACAGTACAGTCTGTGGAATCGGGACCTGGAGGCAAGGGTCAATCCGCCTCCAAAACTGATAATCCTGGAAAGCGGAAACGGAACTCAAAGAAGCTGGACGATTTTGTAATTGCGACTGATGAGGAGGACAATGATATGGATGAAATCACAGAGCCTGAAGACAACATGACTAGCGGCGGCCAATACCATCCAAAGCGTACAGTCATCAAATCTAAGGATGCAGCTGCGCTCCTGTCCAAAGGATCAAAAGTCTCGAATGCTGTGGTTGTCAGTGGGCCTCATGGGTGTGGGAAAACTGCTGCCATATACGCTGTGGCTAAAGAGCTTGGTTTCGAAGTGTTTGAGATCAATTCAAGCAGCAGGCGAAGTGGAAAAGATATACTAGAGAAGGTGGGTGAAATGACCCGAAATCATCATGTTCAACGTATAGCTGCCACTCCCCAACGCGACGGAGTTGATGAGGATAGGGACCGGATCGATAGTGCCCTCGCAGATGACCTCAAGAGTGGTCGTCAAGGTACCATGAACTCATTTTTCAAGCCCAACCCTACTGCACAACTCGAGTCGAAACCACGACCAAAACATAAAGTCAAGGAAACCTCCACCCAGCCACCTGATACAGAGCACCCCAAAAATACCTCCACAGTGCAAGTCTCCAAGGTCATCAAAAATGGCTTTCTGTCGACATCACCAACCAAGAAGCAAAAGCAGTCTCTGATTCTCATTGAGGAAGCCGATGTTCTCTATAAGGAAGACAGCCAGTTCTGGGCCACCGTCATGGGTCTGATTGCGACGTCCAGGCGGCCCATCATCATAACATGCACAGACGAGTCACTTCTTCCGATACAAAGTTTAACATTGTATGGAATTATACGAATGGCTACTCCGTCACTCGACCTTGCGGTTGATTACATTCTATTGGTGGCTGCTTGTGAAGGACATATTCTCACGCGTGAGGCAGTCAAAGGTCTGTATGAGGCGCGTGGTTCTGATCTTCGAGCCTCTCTGACGGAGCTAAATTTCTGGTGCCAGTTCGCTGTCGGTGACGTGAAGGGTGGTTTGGAGTGGTACTACCCACGTTCACCTGGCAGCAATCATGTCGACGAGCACGGGAATTCAATCCGGGTAGTCAGTGCAGGAACGTATCATACTGGTATGGGATGGCTATCGCAAGATTTTCTCGAAAGTCACATACATGACCTAGACATTGAGGAGGAGACGTTGCATGAAGCATGTGATGAGTGGCGCCTGGATCTCGGCGACTGGGAGAAGAATATTGGCCTAGACGCATGGGCAGAAAAGATGCAGGATAATTCAAGTGGCAAGAAAGATGATCTTGCAGCTCTCGGCATGTACGTCGACTTTGCTGATTCAATGAGCGTTGCGGATCTGTGTTCCGGCGGTACATTTGCGCCTATGAACCAGGTAAGAAGAGCTTCAGCTCTGGTTTCAAGGATGTGCTAACAACATCAGATACTACTTGACGTATCATTCCCAGAGCTATCTGCAAAGGTACGAGATGACTACACCCTCGGGTATGAATTAAAAGAGACACCCACCCTTGTCGACTACAACACTCTCAGCAAGGATATTTCGCTTTTCATCAAGTCGCGCACACGAAAAGTGCTGCATGTTGATCAACATATCCGTCACAATTTTGAGGTCCCTACTGAGCTTGATCGTCCTTCGGAGACCGAAGTTCTTCGCCTCATCCGCGATTTAGCTATTTCTCCTAATGACTCGCTCACTCGATATGACTTCAGTCAGGCATTCGATCCTATATCCGCGACTGAGAAGTTCATCTGGAGCACCTCCTTGGAGGCTTCGACTTTCGACCGCACTATGACACTCATCGTGGAAGACCTGGCGCCTTACGTTCGGTCAATTGTAGCATACGATGCTCGTCTTCAGGAGGATCGTCTCAAGATGAGCAATCTCCTGAGTGAAGGTGGAGCTGGTAGAAGGGGGAAGAGAATGAGGACTACACGAGCAGCAATGTCTGCGCTGGAAGGTGGAGCAAGAGTCAGCACACGACGTGATAGGTATTTCACAGCAGCGTTGAACCCATCTTTTGTGCTCAAGACCGGAATGCCAGGCTGGATTCAGGCTTCATTGGCGGAAATCGAAAGCCCTGATGTTCTGAATACAAGCCGCAGATCCAGCACGAGTATCTTGGGGCGAGAGATAATGGAAGATAATGAGAGGGATGAATTAGTCGGCAGCAATCCTGGATGAACGACAGCGTCGGCTTCCAGGCCAATGATTGAGCTGGCACGAATCATTTGCACAACGTGGGGACGGTTTGCATAGACTGAGCTGGGTCGGCTGGCTGGTGGGTGGGTAGGATACATCTAGGCGGGATCTTAAAGTGGCATCACATTGCATCGCATTGCATGGCTAGCATTTGAATTCACGGTGGCTTTCGCATACTGATCTCTACCTTGCTATTCTGCTTCCAGATCCAGCTTCTTTTACCTCGGTCGTTATACGCAGTAGGTGAAAGCATCTCCCTCCTTGCCTTGGTGCTCTGGTTCACGGTTTCATACGCGGTGGATCTGTAAAGTTAGCTGCTCGAAAACCTGTAGGGTTGGACAAGAGCTACCGCATTGAATGGAATCTAGAACTATAGAGTGTAGTTCACGTCCCGGGTTTGCTTTCGAGAGCTCTAGCATCAAGCCGTGTCCGCAAAGCATATTGCTCATGCAATCGTTTCCCAGGCTCATAATGGATGTAGTACGCTGTACCTCAAAAACTTCGTCCGCGTCGTCCCAATAATTTCCTGGTGTTTCTTCTTGTTGCTGTTTCTATGTCTTTCTGTTACTTGTACTTCAACAATTGTTTCTGCCTATCCGCTAAGCGGCTCAAAGTACAATATCGCTAAGCTCTCTTCATTCGCGTCCTGTACATTCCTTTGCTCCATTTCTTATACGCGTGGAACTGCAAACCCACCAAGTCCTCGGCTGGCAATGGAGAGCGTGGGAAAATTGTAACACTATTTTCGCGGGGCTTAAGGAGTGGTTTGTATTCGTTGACGAGATGTTTGTCGGGCAGTGAAGCGATTTCTCGTACAGCCTTGTTATGGGTTTTTGTCTGTCTCTCCTTTGGGCAGTTTTCCCTACATCTTTATGCGAATGTAGAGGTTGACTGTTCTATTCATACTTTTCTAGTTTCCTTCTCGTGAGTGTTTTTTCTTCTTTTTGTTTTGCCCTCCTTTCGTTCTCTTCGGTGTGTGCCTAATCGTAAAAATAGGAGGTATTCATTGAGTCCATTGGGTTGATCTGTAGAACCCTAGACCTGATTCAAAACCGATGGTTGTGAGAAAGCCAAGAACTAAGCGAAGCACTTCAATACCAACCAACCAACTAACTCCTCGTCACACGGAGTTTCCTTCAGCTGTTGAGACGGAAATCATAGCGGAAGCTGGCCCCTGTGCAACCAAGTATCGCCACTAGCTCTTACTATCCGTAGAGTGATAACTGTAACGCAAGATGAATCTATCAGTCAAACTCGGTTCAATTTACAGAAAGCCCGAATCGGACTCCTTCCCCCAAGAGAGCCTTATTCGAGCCTTGACGAGTTTCTGATTACCATTTTTCCTAATTTTCATATGCACACCGTTTGTCATGCATTGTTTGTCGGTTAGTAAAATTTTTGAGAATGAGTATCTCGGAAATACGCGAGCAAGCTGCATAAGCTGACCCAGAGAGACAGACTGTGGAGGGAGGCTTGAGGAAGACAGACTACTTTCCAAGTTTTTGGTTTCATAAGAGATGGGTATTGACGAAGTAATTGTACAACTACATGGCATTCGAGCGGCAGCCTGTCAGGGGTTCTAGCTAGACCTCTCGTCGTTTAATAGGCTCCGATTCCTGAGACCAAGATTGGAGAACGGGGATGGTTAGACGACACGACTTTGGAAAGGTAGGTTCGGATAGACATTATTCGGATTGCTTAGTATAAGCACTGTGCATGTGATACGCTGTGTTATTATTTTGAGGCAAAAGAATGGCCGCCAAAATCATAGCGAAGGGGTGGAGGGGAGATGTATAAATCCTTGGCGTCTTTTAAGACGTAACGCCAGCGGGGCTTCAATTCTTCGCTTGTTCACTAACAATATATCTGCTAGAGCTCATAACTCGAATCCCGCCCATTATCTCCAGACATAGTACTCTCCACTCAATATGACTGCAAGCCTACTAAGTGATACAAATAGCGACCCCCCACCCTCCATATCATCTTCCAAGCATGCATCTAATCAGTAGAGGCATCAAAAGTCAGAGCAGTCGACGGTTGACCGGCAGCCTTCTTATCCAAGGCAATATTTTTATCCAGCTTCTTCTGCTCAGCCGCCATCTTGGCAGCAGTATCCTCGCCCTGCGCAGCCTGGGCTCCGAGCTCAAGGATGGTAGCCTCGAGCTTCAGAACCTTGTTCTTGATCTTGCCGTTGGTGAGGGCCCTCTTCTCGTCGCCCGTCGCGGCCTCGATGGCCGGGTTGAAAGCGCCCTTCTCGGCGTCGTTGCCGATGTTGTTGACGGATCCCCAGAACGCGATGTCGGCCGCGTCTACGTTGGAGAGGTCGTTGATGTCGATCGCGCCGTTGTTGGTCAGGGCGGCGATGGCTTCGGCCTGGGCGTCGCCGGCTGTTCCGCCTGAGATGGAGATTCTGGGATCGGGTTAGAAGATGGATAGGCTTGGATTTGGTGGGAGGAGAAAACTTACTCGTCGTATGTTTTGGTGCTCAAGATGCCGACACGCTTTGCGAGGGGGGCTTCAATCGGTGCGGCAATGGCCAGGGCGACGAAGGAAGCAATGAGTGCGACGGAGAATTGCATCTTGAAGTTGGTTGACCTTTGGAGTGAGAGTTTTGATTTGATTATTGGGATCGAGGGGAGTTAAGAAATGAAGTTGATGGAGTGATTTGTTGTTAAATTTGGTAGGGGAAGTAAGACAGCACAGCTGATGTAGAGAAACAACGAACTCAAGATTGGATTAATGATTGCTGAGGGGACTGGAGAGAAAAAATTTCAAGACCTACGGATTCATCTCATCTTATAGAAATGAGCTCTCGTCTGATCGGACCAACATTGATCAGACGGAGCATGGCTTCTGGATTGATGGATTTGAGCCGAAGTAGATCCTATGTCAATATGGGATGGCATTCTTGGCTGGAACTCCTCGAGGTTGATCACCTCACTCGGCTCAAGGGAAGATACGGTGCCAACGTTGTGAGATTGTGGGATCTGGGAATTGAAAACACGTAGCTCGACGCTCCGTATGGCTTTCTTGTAAAGGACTGGCTGGAAAATACCTCCTCTCATGTATTCAGAGACGGCTCCTCGCTTAGCGCCTCCACCGCATCAGACGAAGCAGGTTTCATTGATCGGATGGGCTCTTCGTCCTTTCCATCAGGCCGGTCATCATTACACGCTGCAAATAGTAGTTTGGGCTCTCCAGCGGCAAAGGGTTCCGAAACGTCGGAAGTCTGCTCGTATTTTGGTATCGTTGCATTTGAAAGGCGTCATTGAGGGTTCAGGACTTCAGATGATGATGATCCGTGGAGCAGATACAGAGAAAGGGTCGAGTAGCTGGGAAGAACGTGAAGATAGGCTCAAGAATTAAGCTTCGTCCATTCCCTAGTGGCCTTGGATTCAATATAACAAAATGCTTGACTGTTCCTCCCGTATTGATTAATTAATTCTATAGCTTATTTCGATGCCATGTCATATATAGGCCCGCTAAAGAGCAGCATGCTTTGCCACTTGGTTCTGGGAAATCTGGTTTTCCAGCGCAGCGGAATCTGATTGGCGTCAAGCTCGCGGATATTTCCATAATCGACGAATGGCTTGGGTTATGTTGTAACAGGAGAACCGCGATCGTCTTCTGCGACCAGAATTGGGGCTTGAAACCCCTCTTGGCGGGGTTGCCCCTTGTCTCGGTTCCATAAATATAAGCGAGGCATCATCAAGTCAACAAGTAATGGCTACCTATGTACTCGTCGAAGGCTTTTCGATATTCTCATTCGCAGCCAGCCGAAAACCCTATCGGAATCGGCACCAGCAACTTCCTGGTGCTCTTGGGAGTCGGCTATTGGTTCCACAGCCAGCAGTGTCAAGTCATTTTCTGCTGGTTTACGATATAAAACGCTACTAGACCACCATCTGAGCCGGCACCAATGCATTGAGACATGCGCTAACCGTAAAGAGCATATATGCAACGAAATGCGATGGAATACCTATATTCTCAGATTTCCAGAACCCTTGGCTTTCCCTCACGTGTTGACTTTGTTCGGCCTTGAACTGGTGCGACTATGGAAACGTGAGCCGGGAACAGGTTTATCAAGATTGTCATGCAACCCTGGCTTTCGAGCGTACCATGGCCCAGATTACTTGCTATATAGCTGGAGTACTGTCTCTCCAGATGTGCTTCTTTCTCTATCCTTACAGCTCGCTCTAAGCTTCATTCACTCATTTCTTAATCCTTTCTTTCTTTCAAAGTACCGACTACGCTCATTTTTTTTTTCTTTGTCAGCCCATCGCTAAGATCTGGCTAATTGGGCTTCTTTTTTTTTACCCCCCAGGAACTCGATCTACTCGACACATCTCTTTCTTCGCCATGCACTTCTCGTCCGCGTTCATTCTGGGCATCCAGATGTCAAGCATCATTGCCATTCCTACTCAAGGCAATCGATATCAGCTAAATCGGGCCTCCGATGTATCCCTCCCTCCAAATGCCGATGACGACTCGCTTGCCAATATGGCCGAGCCTGAGTCTAACAAGATAGAGCCAAGAATAGAGCCATCAGGAACTATAAAGCCTGCTCTTGTGACCAGGACAGCAGCGATGGTCGGATCTGGAGAAGGAGGAGAAGCAGATGAAGCACCTGGTAAGACATATCAAACTCCAGGTCAATATGGAAGACCATGTCTCCCATCCTTGATCCTTCATGATTGCTTCAAATCTTGTGTTTGATCGAGAATATGGTCTAATGGTCTTACAGAAGACGAACTCGAGGCTGAATTCGGTGAAAAAGTTGCCTTGGAGGGGGTGAGTGCCAAACTCAAATCACCTCAATCACATACTAACAGAGGTAGAACGATACCAAGATAGATACCCTGTTCCCTCAATCTGTAAGTATCTATTCCTCGTGGGTACTTCTCCTTCTCTGACCCGCGTTTAGGCAATTGGCAGATTCGAATTCGAGTTCAAGAGCAAGACGGCGGATGAGCTTACTGGTGGGTAGTTGCCAGCCTCGCCATGTTGCCCGGCGCTAACAGCCCTGCAGTCAACGAGAACAAGACTCCTGCAGCCGCTCCAGCAGGTTTTGAACACATCGAGCCAAGTTCATTCCAAGTCGCCCTCGGAGTCAGCAGAGGCGTCGGCTTGACCTTGGCCAAGATTGACTATATTTTCGATATCGGCAGTATGTAATCTGATTCCCGACACTCCACATACATTTAACTGATATGGCTGTTACTAGATGCTGCACTCGCGGGCAAGGATCTCTCGCAGTCGAGAGTCGGAAGACTCAATACTGATACCAGCGCATTCGTCATTGACGAAACGCTTGGTTCACTTAAATTCGATGTTGAGGAAGGCGAAATTAGCCTTACCCTGAATGATGGTGTCGTTGCTGAAGGAGAATGGGGTAAGCACCATCTATTATTGTTCTGGATTTGGACTTCGGAGCTTACTGTAACATAGGCATATTCCTCCCGGTCGCGATTGCTAGAAGAGAACAGCCCTTGCACAGTCGAGGCAACACCCAAGCAAGAAACGGATAGGGCATGATATGCCTGGTCTTATATCTCTCCTTGATATCCTACGCTAAAGGAAGGAGCCCGTGCCGGCTATCGTGGCCATGATGTCAATTATTTGTTAATCGTCGCAGTTTTTCGGAATCTTGATAGGGTCACAGAATATCGTCATCAGATTCTTCAATGTATTATGATTTTACACGTCTTTTGGTGTCCAAACTTCAGTTGAGATTTAGAAGTATAGATTTTGGTCTGCCCTCTCTTCGCTTCATTCAGGGGTGAGAATCTCGATTACAAACAAGCGAAAGTCTGAGACCGGGAAGTAAATAGCTTGGGTAGCTCCGAGACTAGCCGCTACGGATACAATTTGACCTCGTACGGTCCAACATTGGAGCACACTATCTAATTGATTCTGAAAGTGAGCAGATTGAAAATTTTCGCCTTCGATAATAACATGGTTTTCGAGAAGATGACTGGGTCATGTGACTTGTCGGAGTAACCTCGGCATTTCTACCCTATGCTACCCCGCCATTACGAGAGACTCGTGCAGAACATCTCAGATGAAAACTCTCCATCTCATCTTCAAAGCTGTCGAGCAGTGATTTTCTGGCTACCTTGGGGATAAATATCGCCATGGCCTCAGAAGCTCCCTGGAAGGCCATCGCTCGCCGCAAGCAAGCCGAACGCCAATCGCGAATTCCATCTGCCTGGGTCCTAAAATCATGTCCCTCTTCTGAAACACTCGATGTACGCTCTGTTCCTCGCACCTGCGGTATCCTAACCCAGAGCGAGGTATCGATAACCGAGAAGTACGATGCTACAGCTCTCGCTGACGCCATTCGTGCTCGATCCCTTACTGCCGAACAAGTCACAGTCGCTTTCTGCAAACGCGCTGCTATTGCTCAGCAACTATGTAACTGCTTGACGGAGATATTCTTCGAAGATGCCATTGAGCGTGCGAGGTTCCTCGATAACGAATATGCGAGGACGGGGAAAACATTAGGACCATTGCACGGGGTGCCGATCTCGTTGAAGGATACGTTCAAAGTCAGGGGATATGATGCTAGTATCGGAATTGCAAGCCTGGTAGGGAAACCTGCGAAGGACAACTCCTTGCTAGTGGATATTCTGTTAGAAATCGGTGCAGTATTATATTGCAAGACGAATGTGCCACAGGCACTGTCTGCTGTCGATTCTGACAATAATGTGTTTGGCCGGGTGCTGAATCCAAGGGATCGACGGCTCACGGCTGGTGGAAGTTCAGGAGGCGAGGGCGCCTTGGTTGCGATTCGAGGCAGTGTCCTCGGCGTTGGGACAGACATTGGAGGCAGTATCAGGATACCTGCCATGTGTAATGGCTTGTATGGAATCAAGCCCAGTGATCAAAGAGTCCCATTCGTTGGGCAAGAAGATGGTTCTAGAGAGGGCTTCAGCAAGCTCGGATTGAAGGCAAGTGCTGGCCCGATTGCCGTGAGTATGAGGGATTGCGAGCTGTTCTTACAAGCAGTGTCGGATGCAAGGCCTTGGGAACGAGATCCGGCTTTGGCGTATGGGTTATGGAGCGAACAAGGTTCAATGCAGAAACAACCGATCTTTGGTGTCCTCAGGACTGATGATTTGAGTACCCCTCTCCCTCCAGTCAGTAAAGTCTTGGATGAGACAGCCCAGCAGCTCCGAAAAGCCGGTGTTGAAGTTGTGGAGATTGATGCACCGGCATTCCAGAAGTGCCAGTCTCTCGCGAACAAGTTCTTCGGTATCGACGGAGCAAATACGATGCTCGATCTCCTTGAGGCAAATCAAGAGCCGCTCACAAATTGGCTTAGCACTCGCATGCGCCGAGGCAAGCAAGCGTCCATGGACAAGCTTATCGAGATTCATGCCCAGAAAATCAAGTTGGAGACTGAAATGTTGAAGATCTGGAAGGATCCCACGACTGGCAGACAGATTGATGCTATTATCTGTCCTGTGGCTCCCCACCCTGTACCCCCGATAGACCGATGGAACAGTATCAGTTATACGAGCAGTTTTGTTCTATTGGACTATCCTGCCGGCACTCTACCTGTGCGAGATTTCGACGAGGCGGACTTGAAAGGGGAGCTAGCTGATGCCAAACCCCTCAATAGCTATGACAAAGTCAACAGGGAGCTATGTAAGAGCTTTTTAGGGGGGAAAGACCCTCGCTGATGCTGACTTTATAAAGGGGATAAGCAAACTATCGATCGAACATTATATCTCAACACGACGCATTCTGTCCAGATTGTTGCTCCGAGGCTACAGGAAAGGCGGCTATACCATGCCATGTCTTATATAGACAGGGTTCTGCAGACCAGTGGAGCTTCTCGAGCTAATTTGTAGGAGGCTGCTATATGCAAAAGATAACTGACCGCGTCGGCCTGATCGGTAATACATACGTACATACATACATACAGCACGAGCTCGCCTCTGCGATTTCAAGCGCAGCAAAACCCCATCGCCCAACCCGGTCCCCAGACAATCTCAACTTTCAAGAGATGGATAGCATAGGAATCGTGCAGCTAATGTCAAGTGCATACCTCTCCTACGCATACAGCATTGATCTGGCTGACGGCATTAAATCGCACCGCTGACTCGACGTTGACTTTACCAGTGCTGTACATGGTACAATGACCTTCCTCTTTTTCCTCTCTTTTTGTTTTTTCCCCTCACTTCTTTATCTTTTGCTTTTCTTTTTCTTTTTCTTTTATCCTGTTATTGGTCTTCCGAAAGATGGAGGGAGGGAAGAAAGGGAGAGAGGGAGAAGGGAAGAGAGGGAGAGGGAGAGGGAGGAGGAGGATGATGATGATGATGATAAAGAAGAAGCTTAAGCCTAGTCTGATGGACAAGTAGATAAACGAATAAGCAGACAGATGGATAGATAGGTAAAGGCCTAACTATGTATACGGATATAAAATCCATTTCACTTCACTTACTTGCGGTCAGATATAGGCGGATGCTTGCAACGTCGCACTCACTTACCGAATGCGTATACAAATAGTCACGCTCTTCAGCCAGCCCCCTCTCGCCTCTCGCCGAATCAACAAATCAATCAATCAATCAACAAATCAATCAACTAATCCCATCCCATCTCATCCCATCTCATCTCATCTCATCTCAAAATCCCATACAACTAAAATACATATCCCCAACCCCTCCCTCCCACTCCCGACTCGCGATCCAAACCTCCCCACCCGTTCCTCACTCACTCACCCACTCACACTCACTCACTCACTCACTTACTACCAGAAGCTAAAGAAGGTAAGCCAGGAACTTTCTCACTTTCTCACTTTCTCACACGAGCCCCCCCCCCCTCTCTCTCTCTCTCTCTCTGTGGACGGACGGACGGCTGACTCGTGAAACGCTCTTTCCGAACCGTTCAAACGGTTAGACCTCTCTCCCGGACGGTACGGGAAGGCCGGGACGGGAAGGACGGGACGGGAGGGGACGGGACGGGAGGGGGAGGTGCTTTGTCGGGAAGACGGGTTCTTTTGGGGGAAGAAGAAGTGAAGATGAAGATGAGTTTGAGGGGTTGATTTGTTGGTCTTGGTTTAAGTTGCGATGTTGAGGGGTTTCTTTTGGGGGGGGAGAGGGGGGGGGATTGGAATTTATTTGATTTGAATTTGGATTGGATTGAATTTATTTGATTTGAATTTGGATTGGATTGGATTGGATTGGATTGAATTGAATTGAATTGTTTTTGGTGGCGGGGTTTGATTTGATTTGAGGCTTCTGGTTGGAGGTGGGTGGGTGGGTGGTACGTACGGGTGGTACGGGTGGTCGATCTGGTGTGGTTTGGTGTGTAGTAGTACCGGTAGGAGGTAGTAAGCTACTTCGTACTCTGTAGATACCGGTATATCAACTCGTTGGCTTGTTTGTCCTGTCGGGTTTATCGATTAGCTAGCTACGGTAGCTACTACTAGCTGCTTTGAGGGTCGGGACGGGACTCGGGAGCTGTGACGGGACGGGACTCGGGAGCTTTTGCTGTGTGATGGCTATTAATAGTAATTAATGCAATAGTAACGTGATGATAAGAGCGGTATTTTTTTTTTTCTTTTTCTCTTTGACGGCTGGCTGTGCATTTTGGGCATGATGTCATTGGATCGATACGAAGTGCAGAATCCTCCGTTCCGGACGGAGGAGCAGTGGGGATTGGGTGGTGGGCACTGACAGGAGGGGAGGGGGAAGAGGAGGTTTTAAGCTTTGGCTTTGGGGCGCAGGGACTCAAGAGTCAGGGAGAGAGAGGTGGACGAAAGTGTGTGGTGGGAAACTTTACCGGGGGACCGAGGCACGCAGGTACGCACGTTACGGAGAGGTACTACTAGGTACCTAGGTAGGTACCTATGCGGTGCGGGTAGTTGTACAGAGTAGAAGTATGTTTTCATCGGAGGGACTACAGTTCCGGTTGGTCTTGGTGGTGTAAGTGGTCGAAGGGGAAGGGGGAGGAGGCTTGTCCTTGATATCAATGGTCCGGACTACCGTGATTCTCGTCCCGGCAGTCCGTCGTCGTCGGTATGTAAGGGAAGAAAAGGATGGGGTGATGTGGAGGGAATAGCTCCACCATATACCTGACTGCGATTCAAGAGCTCTATAGGTAGATATATAGTCATTGTAGAATCGCGGGTGAAAGGGAGGGGGAAAGGAAGGCGTTCGTATGCTACGCGAATGTACTAATATGCTGTATGTATATATATTACAGATGATGATGATGTGTTCAGGGAAGAATAGCCAACTCGTCTATATACGTACAGGCCACACTTCATCCACGTGACAGAGGCGCCTGGCAGTACCGGTAGTACTACCGAGTAGATACGTACCGGTAGTACAAGGTCAACACAAATACAGAGCACGATCTCCACCACAGTGATATGTTGGTATTGCTTTCGTATAGTGCTGACCAACAGTAATGCTACCACTAATACTAATACCAGTAGATGATATTCTTGCCTTCTTCCTTTTTCCTTCTTCCTTCTTCCTTCTACCTTCTACCTTCTACCTTCTACCCTTATCCCAAAGTTCATGGTACAACTACTACGTACAACGTCACAGGTATACCGCTAAGTGTTCCACCCCGAGGGTAGAGGGCAACCAGGAGGTTTAAAGTGGAGATTTAAACTTTCGAGACCCTCAGGCTGTAGCAACTCGGGGAGGGGATGGTATTTTGCATTTTGGTTTACCAGTCTTCGTGAAGCCGAGGATGATACCCGGTATACTATACTTTTGAGGGGTTTCCCGAACCGAGCTTGACTGACTATTTGAGTTCTCGCTTCTCTCTGTCAAGCTGGGAGAACAGACCAGACCAGACCAGTCCAGACCAGACCGGACCAGACATTGTTTACATTGGCCGAGTCATGATACAGAGGAAGTGCCAACTAACCAAGGGGCGGATGTCAAAGACCAACTAGGCAAGTCCGTAGTACCAAGTACTACTAGGTTCAGGTTCAGGCGTTTGGGTCTGCCCTGCAAGTTACGAGGTGGGTGAAACGAGGAACGGGTGCGAACGGCTGAGAAGTGACGGCAGATGGAAACTCTGGAATGGGTCGGCATGTCGGCCACGTCCACTTTGGGTAAGGACGATCCGACCGTCCACCTCGACGGGACCCACTCGACCCACTCGACCCACTCGACCCACGCCGTCTCCACTTAGACTCGGGCTGACATCTTGGCACCTTGGCACCCTTCCTTTCTTTTCTTCTTCAATATCTCTCCTCTTGCTCCCTCTCCCCTATCTTTTTTTTTCTTTCTTACCATCTATCTATCCCCTCGCATGTCCCATCATACCCCCTATCCCTTCTCATTCTTCTTCCCTCGTCCAACCACCACTACCATCTCTTCGTGCTCAGTCCTCTATTTATATCCCTTGCGGCACAGCCTCCCGCCCATCCATCATCCGCATTCCAAACCAAAGAAAACGATACGAAGAAGTTCAGCCCAACCGTCCAGTCAAGTCGACCCCCCCCCTCCCACTCCCGCAGGCCACGCGTTCCCCCTAGCCGGCCAAGCCCAAGCCGAGCCCCGTCCGAGTGGAGCCTGGCCATATTAATCAGGCACCAACTTCCCTGTTTTATTTGGCCTTTACGTCGTACTCGTCTCTCTCTGTCTCGCCCTCTTCACCACCCGTTTCACGAAACACAAACATCCCTCAACACCATCCCCGAACATACCGAGCTCTATCAAAACATCATCGATATCATTCTCAACACCATCGCGGAAAACACCTACCAACGCACCAACCTACCTCCAACCCCCCTCAACTTCCTTGACTCTCCTCCTCCACCATCACCAACCACACAAGAGAGCCTGTCACCATGTCGTCCCAGACTTCATCCTCGCCCTCGATTCCCCTCTCGAACTCCCAGGCATCGTGCCATGACCCTTTCGACTCCATGGTGGACTTCTCTGAGTACGACAAGCTGTCCTACTACTCGCCGTCCGCCTCGCCCGCCGCCAACAAGAGCCAGTTCACGTCCCGAGCCGTCTCGAATACGCCCGCTGCCCTCCCGTCCAGCAGCCAGCCGGATCTCAGCGGCCCCAGTCACAACTATGCCATGTACAAACAGCAGACCGGCATCCCCCAAGGAGCCGTGGCAAGCACCTTGGCCATTAACCAGATGAGCCAGCTCGGCTTCAACGAAGGCTACGTGTCCGGATACCCAAGTGACGAATTGATTGACTTCGGCACGGCGCCGGCTTCAAAAAGCACCGGATTCGACGACATGGGCTTTGATTCGTCGCCCTCGCAGGAGCTGGGCTACGTCTTCCCGGAAGTATCCCCGGGGTTCATCAACCCCCAAACTACCCTGCCTGTCTCGGCTGCTGTCATGCCCGCCCAGACTAGCAACGTCGGCCGTCTCTGGCCCGGCATGCATCAGCAACAAGCCGCGCTTGCAAAAGCTCAAGCGCACCAGAAGCAACAACAGCAGCTCATACATCAGCAGCAGCGTCTGAACGGCTTGGGTGGACCGCAGAAGCAAAGATCGAGAGCCTCCACCGCCAATGAACCTTTTGTCGAGGAGCGGATCTCCCAACTGCTCGAATCCATGAGACGCGGCAGCGTGGGGAGCGACGACGACTCGAATCACGACCATCCCTCGTCTCACGCTCATCGTCAACGCAAGGAGGCAGAAGACATGGACGAGGACGAGAGGTTGCTCGCTAGTGAGGAAGGAAAGAAGCTCAGCAGCAAGGAGCGCCGACAGCTCCGAAACAAGGTCTCCGCCCGTGCTTTCCGTTCGAGGAGAAAGGGTAAGAACAGCCAGCCAGCCTGCCATCCTGACATCACAGCTAACACACGATAGAATACATTGGCCAACTCGAAGGCGAGATCGCCGTGAAGGTCAACGAGAATGCCGAGCTCCTCCACGATAACAGGGCCTTGAGGGATGAGGTCACCCGTCTGTCAGACTTCACCCGCATGCTCCTGTCCTCGCCTTGCTTCTCCGGCTTCCTCGACACCCTGGCGTCCAATCCCGCCGCCGCCCAGACGGCTCAGGCGGTTCTGCAGCAACCCCAACCGGCCCCGGTCGAGCAGCAACCTCTGCATCAGCGCAAGGATGTCAACCCTTTCGCCGGCCAACAGCAAATGGATCAACAGCAACACGTTGGCATGACCATGATTCCCGAACAGAGCATCGACTTCTCCCTGTTTGACAATATCGGTGGCTTCTCCTACCAGCCCCAGGTCTTTTCCGTTCTCTCCCTTCCTGAGACAGTCCTCGACGCCGACGTCCTGTCCGGCAAGAGCTCTCCTTTTACTCCCCTCGCATCCGATGATGAAAAAGTCGAGCTCCCAAAGATCGAGCGCATGCCTGTGTCGGCGCCACCCAAGATCGAGCTTCCCGTCATCGTCGACGAGGAGTTCGATGCGGATCCCGCCTTTGCCCTTTTCACCGCCACTACCATCACCCCTGAGACCGAGTCTGCACCCACAGAATTCGATCTCAGCTTCCTCACGCACATCTCCTCCAAGCCTGTACAATATGAGCTCGTTGTCAAGACCGAGACGAACGATGCTTCGCTGCGCCGCGTCGAGAGGCTCAACAGAGATATGGAAGCATGCGTGGCTCGTCTTACGGCCCTCACCATGCACCTATAAGGTCCCGACACATATTTGCTTGCTTGCTGCGATTTAGCGTGGGACTGACCGGCGTTACCCAACTTCTATCCACCTCTATAGGTGCACCTCCTCACTTGGAACCCCGTGCTCGTTTGCCTTATCTTTGTCTCTAGGCTGTAAAAGATGACTGTATCTTTCCTGTGTCTCGAGTGGTAGATGATGACTGGATGTATAAGAGACGGCATGCACGCATTTGCTCTCGTCTTTTCCTATTTTCTGGGTGGGGGCTTCGGGAAGCGGATGGGATCGATGATTTATGAAATGGAATATGAATCGGACAGGCAACAGAAGTAGACTATCTTCTACATCACTTTCCTTATGCTATAGAACAATGAATGGAATGCAGACTCGGGAGTCTGGCAGAATCAAAATTGCATCGCTTTCTCGTCTTTGAAATGGTGATCTCCACTTTCCCACCTTCCTTGTTTCATTGGCAATTCATACTCCGTACATAGCGTAGCTGCTGCATATCTGCCCTGCCGACCCGGTCCCGGGACCCGGGATCTCTATATTCCTACTGTACTTTGTAGGTAGGCAGGCCCCGCCCGCCCTCATCTCCGGCCTGTCCATTGCCCCGCCCTCGCCCTACCTAGGTACCTACCTAGCTACAGTACTAGGCAACAGCTAATGCACAAAAGCCACTTTCCTCTTCGCACCCAAACAAAAGGGGTCAATCAATCAACACTTTTTTTCTCCAAAAAAAAATAATTATATATATATAGGTACATATATGTATAGTTTTTTTTTAAAAAAAAAAACGAAAACCCCCCCCCCCCAAAAACTTAGCCGGTGTTCAATCAACATCTGACCTTTTTTTTTTTTTTTTTTTTTTTTCGTGAGAGAG